AAAGCACAGATGTTCCTATAGCATTTCATGAACAGATAATTACAATCCATCTATTGTTATGGATCCTTCGCGCACCGCAATTATGAAGGGGTAATTATGGTCAAACCTTAATTGATCTACAGCAGTTGTCTGTTTGTTAAGACAACTTCGATCTGCAGAGGTAATCTCCAAGCAGATCTTTCGGTAGCAAGACAGTATCCATTGGCCAAAGGAGTGTCCATTAGCCACCGAAGATGGATACAGGACGGCCAATGGATACGGGATGGCCAATGGATACAGTCTTTTGCCACCCAACCGAAAGATCTGCTTGGAGATTACCTTTTGACAGTTCAAATCCTTTACAACTAGACTAACATTAGACTGAGAATTGGTGCACATTATTGCCTAGAAATTGAGAAGACATACAAAAACATACTGGCCGAAAAGAGAATGTTAGCCACCTGCAAAGGCATAAAATGTATGGCAAATAACAATTTGAAATAATTGCATATTGCTAAATTATTGTAACGAAGGAATCACGCACAGAGGTAAATATTATACATCTGTTTTATTCACAAGTTTTGTCGTCCATGCAATCCCTTACATTCAGACAGGGGAAACAGAAACTCTATACAACTTCTTTGTTTTCTGTAATTGTTTTTGTGTTTGCCAACTTTGTTATTATTATTATCTCTGGATTTAGACTCCTGTCTGACCATATATATGAATGTGTTTGAGTAAGAATTAACAGAGCAGACCTTATGTAAAGGTAAATATTATGCATTTGCCTTGCAAATGTTACCTTAAGTTTCTAGTTTACTAGTGTCTTTTATACTGGCATGTGATAATGTCTTAAAGTCTGTTCCCTATATACTTCTAGAAGAAACTTTTTTTTTTCATGCAAGGTAAGTTGCTGAGGAGGTAAACACTTAGTTTGTTTTTGGAGAAATTTCTTGATTTTAACATTCAAGACTTTCAGCTGACAACTATGTCATCTTCACAAACCTTAAAACAGAATCCATACAGTTTAAGCTACCATTGGAGGTAATATACATTAGAAGAGAGGGCATTCTGTCCATTTAATATCTGCAACTTACAGTTAGAATTGACAACTTTTCAATCCAGACATCACATTAGGTGACATAATAAACTTTCAGATCATCGAAACTGAGTTGCAGATTATATACATGTAGATATCAACTTGCCTAGCCTAGGCTAAGCTTTAGCTAGACAAGCCTAGCCTAGCCTAGCCTCAGCTTAAACTAGCCTAGCCTAGCCCTTCCAGTTTTACATGTATTTCGAACACTTGGCGGATATAGTACTTCTCTCACTTTGCAGCTGGTTTTAAAATAAATGAAGAATTCTGCATCAAAGTGTTGTCAGGATACATCAGGCACTTCAAACTCTGAAAAAAAAAGTTCATATTGGTCATCTTTTAATGCAAAATGAGCGAACATTTGGTGTCCCTAAACTAAAAAAATCAATTCCAACGTACGAATCCTGTATTCGAATTTTCGAAAGTGGTTTGGGCGAAACTCATTCAAATCGTTCTATGGAAGCCCGGGCCGTACCGTAAAGTATGGCCCGGTCCGGAACACCGTTATTGAAGGTTATCACAACCCGGGTACGATATAAACAGGTACACACAGTATATACTGGGAGTCAAGAATGCATTATATGCAGGTTGAAGTCTGAAGTATGGTGTACTTTTAGTACCAACGGAAGGTTATAAAATATACCTTTTGACAATCTGTACGACGTCTTCGTCCTGTAGAACATGCTCCTTCCCCACCTTCTGGGGCTGATGCTTCACAGACGAACCCCACACCAGGGCACTGGGAAACAGGGACAAGTAGGGTCAAATTAATTGTACAATGAAGGCAATGAAACAAATCATTACAAGGATCAGCAAAGCAAACTTTCATCAACGCATCTGCTTGGAGATTACACAGAAACACTCAGAGTATCCCCTATACAAATATGCTCAAGGAGGAAAGTTTATTTGCATTCTCACTCAAGGTAAGTCAATGCATTTTTGGATATCTCCTTGTTTACTATTACTAAATAATCTTTTACTATACTCTAAAACAACCTGTGCCTATAGCTACGGAGGAAAATAGAGACTCTGAGGTTTTTCTAACAAACAAGAAATTAGAGATTCCAAATCCCCGGTAATTGAACATGATGAACAAATGAATTAGAATCTAATATAAAATACATTGTCAAGTCCTACTTGTATTGTAAAAGGAATAAATTAACATGACAAAGGATTTCGGTGTGATTCTTCAACTGAAAGGTAAAATCCAGTACTACATTGAAACATGAGGCTTGAATTTTACATTTTCCAAATTATGTGCCTTGTACAGTACTGTAATTCCTGATTTTCTCACTGTACTTTTATATTCATTGTTTTCACTGTCACCTCTGTACCGTGAACTTATTATTACAGTTAGCAAATAATTCCTGAACTTTCTCTCTTTCCTACACTTGTCACCACTGTGAACATATATAAGTTCTGTGAACATGTGAACATGAAATTTTGCTACCATGAACATAAAGAGAATACAGATTACCAAGAAACCTACTATCTAAACTCCCTGGTGACATTTTTGTGGATTTTGTTGTAGAATAATAGATAAAACTACCGGTAGTTTGTGCAGTCATGCAGGTTTAGTACTGGACAGAGAAACCTACTATTTAAACTCCTTGATGAGGCTTTTATGGAGTTTGTTGCAGAAATCTTCGATGGAGGAGTGTCTGTGGTCCAATACCACAGGAGCTTCATAGTCAGGCAGCTGGCCCTTCGGCTTTGTGTAACTGGAAATCAAACAGTCAAGACTTAGGGGAGTTGGAGATTTTTAAAAAATAGTCCATGCCATATAAGCAAACTTACGAAAACAACATAAAAAGATAGAATGAATATTTTTGAAATCATAACATTTAAATGAATAAATGAATGACTGGTTTATTTGATCAACATGATCCATAAAAAAGTACATTGCAGCCAGGTAAAGAGGCTGAATTGCATACTTTTCACATCATTATAGATAAGGCTATTTACAAATTGACATTTGGTACAAATAGTAATAATTTTCTAAATGCAGAGAAGTTACTGTTCGTTTAGTAGTTTTACCACGTATGGAATAGGACTGTTCTTGTATTTGATTGTTCTTGCTCTGAATGTGGGTTTTTGTAAGAAACAGCACCCTAAAAGACAATCAGTGATGGCCAACTTCACTAAGTTAGACACACACATTGTGACACAAGTCAAAACAATAATTCACTGAATTAATAATTATCTGGAACATCTTGAAATAAACGAGTCAAGTTGCTCACATTCTGACCAGGTCGAGGTATTCCCACATTTTCTCCAGTAAATCGTCGAAGTTCCACTTGTGATGAGCAGAGATGGGCACACAGTGGGGAATCTTATAGATGATATCCAGCTCCTGTAGGTACATGGGGAATAGATGTCTGTACATGTACAACAAAACATGTATCTGCAGGGTTCAAAATACTGGGCATATATGCACTTAAGTGCACCCAAATTTGGAGATGTGCACCCAGTTCTTTTCTGTGGGTGCACCAGTGCACCCAAATATTTCTGTAGGTTTACGTACATGATGTTTAAATATATAGTAGTATACAGCAGTATACAGTAGTATAGGACTTCCAAAACCCTAGACCCCAGGGAAGACCACCCAAGAGGTGGAAAGATCAGATCCAGAGTGACACAGGGATTACTCTAAGTGTAGCTGAGGCTATCGCTCTTGACAGAACTGGATGGAGGAACCTGACGGAGGGGAGCAAGGGGCCAGTACCTGGCCTGGGCACTTAGGCAGGCAGGCAGGTAGTATACAGCACATCTAACTTCTAAGTGTCAGAAAATAATAACATCATTAAAACATAATTAGTTTTTGCTGACATTCTACTTATTTCATCTTTTTGGTGCACCCCAAATATTTTTGGGTGCACCAGTGCATCTGTTTCCAATTCGAGCCCTGGTATGTATCTGCAGGGTTCAAAATACTGGGTGCATATATGCACTTAAGTGTTGGTAAAATTGGAGCAGGTGTATGCAGATCTGTTTTCATATGATCTACTCACAAAGTTTTGCATCACGATGTCATCTTCGATTGTGATGGACTACTAACTTAAAGGCAATGTGCAATATATAAAGTGAGCTACAACAATAACAATCTGCAAGTATACAGTAAATGTTTTTCAGTATATATGTCTTCAATCTCAATGGCAAGCAACATCTTACACCACTTACCTCAATGGAGATCTGGTCAATTTTGTTCAGCAGAAAAATACAGGGAATGTAGACCCTAAAGGGAGGTAAAAAAAGTCAATATTTGCAGTCAACATAGTCAAACTCACTCACTCCCTCACTGACTGACTGACTGACTGAGTAACTGACTCACTCACTCACCCACTCACTCTCACCCACTCACTCACTCCCTCACCCACTCACTCACTCACTCTCACTCACTCACTCAATCACTCACTCACTCACTCACTGATAAACAATGGTACATGTGTAAACTATGATAATGATAAATGAGCAATAATACACTATGATTAACAATGACAAATGAGTGATAAACGATGATAATGGACAATAAAAACAATGATGATTGATGATAAATAAACAATACAAACAGTCATGAACAATAATAAACAATATGTAAATTGAACAATGATGAATATTGATACACAATGATAAATAAACAATGATAAATGAACAACGATAAACAAAAGTCCCACCTGTTCCCTTCGATGACGTCGATCAAGTCGTCCGCGCTTGCGTCGTACCTGACAAGGATGTCAGCGTTGTGGATTTTGTACTCAGCCAGTATCTGTTTCACCAGGTCTCCATCCAACTCTGACTGGGGAACCTGGGGAGGCAAAATGGGACTCTTACCTCAGTGGGCAGAGGCAAAACGCACTGAGGTTTTGTTTCTGGGGTTTGTCTGTCTGTCTGCTTGTGTGTCTGAGGCTATCTGAATACAGTAAGGTCCCAGGAAGTGTGTGTGTGTGTGTGGGGAGATATAACATTACTGCAGACTCGACTTACATGTAGGAACCTGAGAAAGTGAAAGGGATTTTTTTAAACTCAGTATAGTGACTAGCAGGCAGACATAGCTAAGACTAAATGGCCATGTAAAACTGTGTGTAAGTGACCATCACAATCTTTGGTTCACAAGGCAAATGTTAAGGAACTTCTTAACCCCATACTCTGGGGAAGACCCCCTATTTATTTATTTATTTATTTAATCTTCAATGACACCTGGGTAGCTCCTTCAGCCAATAGCTGATTTCCAAGGAGGCCCAGGGGGAATACAGTATGTAAAAGAATAATAGATTATACAAAGTACATAACAAAAGATGTAAATGAAATCAGTATAACTTTATACATAAATAAATGAATAATACGAACGTGAACTGAGGGAATTTACAAGAAACATAACTTCAAATCATAATCATAATCAACGTAATCGATTTCCGTTCAATATCATTGGAGGTCAGAGGTCTTCTTAATAGCTGCCTTGAAGTGTTTTAAAGTTGGATTGGATTGTGAAAGACACAGGACTTAGTCTTGGTATAAGAGTCGTGGGCCATGGATTCTGGAAAAACAACATAATGGAGCAAGGTACTCATTTTTGGCACTTTTATACCTTACCGCTGGCTGGAAGTTGATGCCTCCCTTGTCCTTCTTGCGGAAATGGATGTTTGGCGGTTCTTTGTTCAACCTGTCCACGAAAGAAGGAAACAGTCACAATCATTTAGAAAAAAGACAGAAAATATGATCAAACATTTGGCAGAATTCATCAACCAGTATCTAATCTGATCTAAGACATATACTTCATAACTACTTGTTATACCCCAAATTGAGCTGGCATTTACATTGACATTTGCAATTGTTATTAGACCATTAAGAATCACAACATCAAGATCAAGAAGGTTGTAGGTATACTTATCTGCTTTAATTTTAAATCATGAACATGGTACATCTTGAAAACACAGGTAACAGTATTTCAATCAATAGTTTGTGCTTATAAATCTGCAGTTTTTTCTCCAGTGTCACTGACAAAAGGTAGTGGATGCTACCTGAAACATTTGGCTGTTTCCAAATCATATCCAGTTGCTTGAGTACTAGTAACTGTTTTTTGGTGTAACAGTCCTTTGTATTTTGAAAATGTACTGTCTTTTAATAAACCAGCAATTGTGTGAGGTGGTGTAAACAGTAACATGTACAAAACTGGTGTGTTTCACCCAAAAAGGCAGTTTACCAGTTATGCAAAACAAACAAACAAACAAGTAAACAATCTTCACCTGATTCCGAACCCTTCCAGTTCGTGCTCGATGAGTCTCTTGTGCCCGAGGGGCTTCAGAACATCCAACACGATGAAAATCAGGCTGCAGGTTCGAGCAACTACAGATGGCAGGGGGAAAATTGGCAGTCAAACTTTTTTCCTGAGTTTTCCTGTCATAAGTCATCAACAACAGATTAGAAATACTGCAAACTGTATACTATAAGTAATGACATAATAAAAGCTAAAGTCAGTGGAGAATGAAAATGCCATGTACAAGTATTGAAGTATACAACAAAGATGGTCAATATTGGTTTATTGTTTTTGATTCATAACAATACACTATAATACATTGCAGCCACTTGTACATAGTACAAATCACTGAATTATGCCTATCACTATCAGGCAATGAATATTGTGATCTATTACTCTACAATATTTAATATATATACAATGTTTATACAATATATATACAATGTTGTTTTGATGAATAAAGTTTAACTACTTCAATGTATTTATGGTCAAACCTGCAATAACTTGTTTTCCTCTGCCTTTTCCATCCTTGGCTCCTTCTATGATACCAGGGAGATCCAGTAACTGTACAACAACCAAAACAGACACTGAAAACGTAAAAAGTCATGAAGCTATCATACAGCCAAAAACTCACAACATTATCATAGCCCACTGCAAATGTAAGAGAACTAAGTAGTAGGGTCTTAACCTAAAGTTTGGCACCCTTTACAAAACACACAAAAAGTTTGTGTGTTTGCTTGTCTGTTGGCCACTTTTCATATCCATGTCATGGCCCACTTCAAATGTTGGGGAACTCAGAAAATAACTACTCTCCAAGCAGCGATTTAGGCTTTGGCTTATTTTTTTGTTTGTTTTAGGTATTTTATCAGGCTTTTTTTTGTGCTGGTATCTTTTTTGCGCAGCTGTAGAATGTGTATTGTACAGTGCCCTGCCATTATTTGATACCGTCTTGCAAATACATGTATGATACATTTTGCCGAATTGTAGCCACCAAACGATCTGCTTGAAATAAAGACTGAACTTTAACTTCCAACACTGGAATGACTTGGGACTTACCTGATGAACTTTTATGCTAAGATCTGCTTGGAGATAGAGTAGGAAACAGCTTGTTGCGTGACCTTACCTGAACTTTAGCGCCCTTGTACTTGATGACCCCGGGTACGGTGGTGAGGGTCGTGAACTCGTAAGCCGCCACCTCGGAGTACACTCCCGCCAGGTTACTCAGCAGGGTTGACTTACCCACCGACGGGAAACCTGCAATATTGCAGAACATCAAAATTTTGTTCTGCAATTCGTAAATACTTTCTACAAATACACAAATGTATACACTTGTATAAAATTGCATGTTGGCAAACATTTTGCATGAAATTTGAAAAATACATGCAAAATTACTTGCATATATGCTGCAGTATTAAACACAAAAGCTCTTATTATTTAGTCTTAAAGACCATGAAACTCACCAACAAACCCGATTCTGGCATCTCCTGTCTTGGCAACATCAAAACCTGCATGGAGACAAGAATACAGAGCTCTGAGTCTGAAACTAGTGACAAACTCAATCAATGACTCTTTCATCACTCAGGTATCAGATCAAGGAGCTGGAAAAGGCCGATCAGCTTGAAAAATTTATATCCCTTACAGGGTTCCACAAAAAAAAAAGGCTAGGGTTGGCAGATTTTCTAGGGTCAGTTGGGAAACAGGAAACACAACTTTTTGTCCCCTATGTAGCGGTAGTAGTAATTCGTTTATTGATAAAGTACAGAACAAATCATCCGCATGCAGTAAAAACTGAATTGCCCCGAAGTTTAAAATCAACATACTGACTCGGTAAAACACGGTAGGTTATAATAGTAAATGTATATACAAGGGGGCCCACATGCCCTTTTCAGTAGAGCGTAATCGGCTGTTTCAATTCTACGTAGAGCGTAGACAGACTGCTCTAATTCAACATAGAGCGTAATTGTTGAATTTTGCGTAGAGCGTGTCCACTGTTTTAATTGTACATTACGAGTTGTTGCCACTTGGAATTTATTGTTAAGTGTAATCGAGAGGTTTCCGAATTCAGCATAGAGCGCTGTCGGGACCCCCCCATGCAGGCCCTCATACAAGTTCTGTATCTGTATCTGTATAGCCGGTATAACCACCTTTCGGCGTAACACACCAGCTTCTGTAACTGTATAGCCGGTATAACCACCCTTCGGCGTAACACATCAGCTTCTGTATCTGTATAGCCGGTATAACCACCTTTCGGCGTAACACACCAGCTTCGCAGGCACGCGGCGCGGCGGCAGCTGGCTATATTACACCGATCGACTTGTTACACCTAACCCTTGAACTTCTAGCTCTAGACATTGTTTAAAGCTATCTAATGACAATTCCCCTACTGTACTTGGTGACAGTGAGTTCCACTCTGCAATAGTTCTAGGAAAGAATGAATTCTTGAACAACTCAATCCTTGGTTGATAACTCTGGTACTTGAAGGCATGCCTATATAACTTATGCCAAAGCGAGTGCTTTACCCTCTCCTGCTTTCCCGCCGCCGCCGCCTTTAGGGTCGATAAGTTCCCGCCGAAGCTTGGCCAGACGAGCCTTCAGCAGACCCAAGTGAGCGCTAGTCGCCTTGTTCTTCTGTGTCCGAGCCATCTGCAGGGTGGGAGGGGAGAAAAATGTTATACTAATAGGCCACACCAATTTAATTTCTTGGTTAATGGATTTTTCTAGAAAAATAATGGAGCAGACGGGCGAAAAAATGAAAATAAAAACAGGCCTAGGCATCCTATTAAGTATTATATGGCCCAAAATGGTACGATAGGAGCCATGAAGTCAACACACCAGGCTGGTTCAAAATTTAAACAATGAATTTTGAACTTTTAGTGATACCACTGCATTGAAAGATGGAATAACTGTTACAACTAGGATACCGTAAGAATCAGGGTTCCAGCTATTAAATCTCCAAGCAGATCTTTCTCTATTTCTGTGGCCGCAAAGACAGTTACCAAATTGGCCAGGCAGTACTAGTATTTGTTTTGAGAGGGCGTGGATACTGCCTAGCCTGTGTATACACAAGCTCTCGGCTGGAGGTTAATGACTCCCACCCCAAGAGCTTGTGGCAGAATAGCTGTAAGTCGGGCGGCCCGTTCCCTTTCCTGGAGTCACCAATAGGAAGCCAGTATTAGGAATTAATGTGGGAACCGACTGGGCCGGCGCCAGGCAGCCGGAGAAGGGCGGAGTACCGGGCGGGGACTGCGGGTGGGAATTTCTCAGAAAAATGGCTGCGACTAGCCCGAAACCGAGTTTCTGTGCATTCTGGAGTCTGTGTGTGTGGACTTTGGGAGTCCCTGGCCCCTAGAGCCGCTTCAGGAATAGACGATACAATTTTTTCGTTAAACAGAGAAACGACGTGTTTTCGTGTCTTCCTACCGGCTATGAGAAGACCGAGATCGTGAAACAGTGCAGAGCAAGCGAAAACGGCGGGTTGACGACTGTGATTCTTGTGCCACGATGTTGACTCCTGTCAAATTGTCGATACTTTATAATTGCTGGAATCTAAAATGTTACTGGCTTCTCCTCAGCGGGAGTTGTTTATTGTTTTGATCGGTAAAACGCAGGGTAAAATATGCTAGAAATTAATTACTTTGTGGGTAAAAGAAAACTCACGCCGAGAGCGAGGTCCACACTTCCGGGTTCAGCGACGACAAAATGGCACGAAAAACGTTAAAAATCCGCATAGAAGTATATAATTTCGTGACTGATTCTTGAAACTATGCATTTCTTCACTAGAATATCGATGTGTGGTTGTGGAAAATAGCATTTTAGCGCTTATATCGAAGAAAGAAAAGTTGATTACACGCGCGTCGGCTCGGTCAATTTTCAATACCGCCGGCGCTGCCGGAAGCGGACGCTACAACTAATCAGAGATGCGAAATGTGGACATAGCCGAGTGAAAATCGTTACGCCAAATACAAATCCGTGGATGAGATTCTTTTCTCTCGGTGTGGCTGCCATTTCCCACGAGGAAGTTCCAGAAACTTTGGAAAATAGAAACAGATTCGACTCGCGAGCGGGTGCCCGTGCCTTCCTCGGCCAAACTTCAAGTTTGGGACATGAAAGGCGCCCCGACGTCCATCACTGGGTAGCGACCGACAGGCCCATAGCAACCATCTCTGTTGGGTGCCGCACCGTCTGAGGGCCGTTCGTGACGTTTGCATCTCATTAACCATATATGGCGGACCAGGGCCGTCGACAGTCCGCCAGCTTTACGCGTGCTTGACATCAAGCTTTTGGGGGGCGGCGGCCGCCAGGAGCGCGATTTAGTCAGGCTAGATACTGCCTGGCCAATTTGATACTGTCTTTGTGGCCACCGAAACATCTGCTTGGAGATATCTAAGGTACCAGCTAGGTAGAACTAGGAGGTTCTGCATGGGGGGATGCAAATTATGTTGTTCTTATATGTAACCTTGGAAACAACTTTATTGGTAGGTTCAGTTTTTGTATAGATCTTGAATATGGCAAATATGGATATGGATCTCTCTCGTCATGGTTAGAAAAAAAATTAACATTTTGTGTCAGAAAAAAACTGCAACGTTGATAGAGGGAAATTTACTGAGCAAAATTTGTTTCTCAAAAGGAAAATTATGAATTTTCTAACACAACAATAATTTTCTAAACAAATTGATAAAAATATACCCCCCCACCCTTCCATCTGTGATGCAATATTTTCACGTCGTACATTTTCGCAAAATAATCATCTTTTATGGTCATCTTTCTCACATTGGTCTAACTCTAGGTGTCTTTAAGATTCTAGCCACCTTACCTCGGACTCAATCTCGGCGATTTTCTCCAAGACACCCATGATTTTCTCCTAAGGAACTTTCGCGACGTCGGCAACTTTCCCTCCACTGCAGAATCTTTCGTCAGGCCAAATCTCGTCACATCTCATCACGTGACCAGAAGCTTCTGCCAAAATTTTACCATTTTCCGTGACTTTTTCCCGATATACACTGAATACTGGTGCCCAAATTGTATTCTATGAAAATATTGACCTCATATTCATAAGTTTGGTCCAAATCTAACCGAAGTAGAGGGGCCTAGAAATAACTTTTTTTAGCCAAAATTTTTTTAGCCAAACGCGAGAATTTGCGAGATTTGGGAGGCCAAGATGGCGGCGCCCATGAGAATGTTGTCCCGCGTGTTTTTACACCAAAATCCACGTTTCCCGCCTTTTTCTGCCGTATCCTCGCAGCTGGACCGCGCCGTACAACACATCCACGGATCGGGCGTCTGCCGCATTCCGAGAAAAGGCGGGAGAACAAGAGATTCGATCGAAAACGACGAGAATGCCATGGGAAATTTTGAGGGGGAGGGGGGCAGTCAGGAGTATGACTTCTATTCAGATGGAAGAGTACATTTCCCCTATGAGGAGAAAGTTGAACCGTACAGAGGCAGGCGTCAAAACAGATTCAACTCTCAAGTAGATATCAGACCATCTAGTGACGATACTCTTTCGTATCCTATCGATAGCGACCTCCAGACTTTTGCAAAGCCAAGAAATAAGCGACAACGAAAACCTCGGTTTGAAACACTAGATGAACACGAGCGTAGAGGACACCAGACCGAAGTGACGGCTGATGATGTCAGAATTTCTTACGACGAGCCGCGGGAGAAATGGTGGAAGCACCGCGAGTTCGAAAAGGTTCGACCAGGCGAGGACGAAGGTTTAGGGTTCGAGTCCAGAATAGAACAGCTTGCACGGGAGCAAAAAGAACTGAGAAGAGAACAGAAGGAATTACAGAGAAGCCAGAAGAACAGGGATGAAACACCAGAGACTGCTAAAGACATGGTCATGAGGCTTCGAGAGGAACAGTGGGCTGAAGAAATCGCAACAGGCAGAGGGTTGAAGGTACTGTTAATCACTTTATGAGGGCCTGCAAGGGGGGGTAGTGATTACGAATTACGCAAAATTTTTGCTGCCTATTACGAATTACGTTAAAGTCTCAGAGCTGATTACGACTTTACGATTTGCGGCTTATGTCCAATTACGAATTACGTTGATTTTTGCGGAGGCTGCCTACGAATTACGAAGTCTAAAACGGCCTGATTACGCCTTACGAAAAAGGGCTTGCAGGCCCTCCTTTATCATTTATGTTCGCGGTAGTAAATTGGTGGTCCGAGAAAAATGTTTGCGGAACTATATAGAGTAGATTAACGATGGTTCTGGCTACTCAAATAAGGGCACATTTATTGGTATATATCTTTTAAAAACATCTTGTCTCAAAGGAGTCTAAAATCTCACTTTCAATGTGTTATGATATCTGTTACTAGTGTTAGTCTTCCAACGAGTTCTAAACACTTACTGCCAAAATCCTAAGAAAACCCTTAGAAATGAACTGTCTTAAATCTTGTATGTGTCTCTATATTTACCACTCTTCCACAGGACATACAGGATCTGGACCTGTCTCGTGAGAAGTTTTTGTATAGATGGAAACACCAGGTGCCAGATCTGACCCACGTGTCTCCCAAAAAACTGGCCAAAATCATTAAAAAATACTCTTAAAATTGTCTCAAATTTCACGTTAAATGTGTCTCTTCCACAGGACATACAGGAGTTGGACCTGTCCCATGAAAAGTTTCTGTATAGATGGAAGCACCAGGTGCCAGACCTCACCCACGTGTCTCCCCATAAACTTGCCGGGATACTGAAGAAAACCATCCTGTATGATGAAGGTGACATCGTGGCCATAGAGAAGCCGTATGGAGTCCCTGTTCATGGTGAGTTGTAGAGCTTAAAGTACTGGGCATATGCACCTTTGTGCTTGCTAAATCTAAACCTTATGATCTTTGTGTTAGGTGCACAGCTCAAAATACTGGGCATATGCTAATCTCCAAGCGGATCCTAGGGTCTCAAAGATAGAGTATCAAATTAGCCAGGCAGTATCCAGTTAGCCAGAGGGGTTGCAACAAAAACAAGGGCCATATATAAAAAGCTAACGATCATTCCCACCACAACCTCTGCTTGGAGAATAGGCATATGCACCTTTGTGCATGCAAAATTTACACCTAATCTTTGCGTTAGGTGCACAGCTCAAAACACTGGGCATATGAACCTTTTTGCGCCCAAAATTCGAGCTATGCATCTAATTTTTGCACCTGGATCGAGATCACTTTCGTTTCCTGTCCAGGTGGTCCTGGGATGGGTGTGAGTATAGCGGACGCCCTGCCCATCTTGATGCACAGGGTCACAGTCCTTAGGACGGTACACTGTTCATTGTGCTTGATTCTGTGGGGGATTGAGACCACTTTGTTTCCTGTCCAGGTGGACCAGGGATTGGGGTCAGTATAGCGGACGCCCTGCCCATTCTGGTTCACAGGGTCACAGTCCTTAGGTCCACTGTTCATCATTGTTCTTGATAGCTCTTCAGTGAGCTAAAACTGCATTGAGATCACTTTTGTTTCCTGTCCAGGTGGACCAGGGATGGGGGTGAGTATAGCGGACGCCCTGCCCATCTTGCAGGGTGCGCTGAAGACAGAGCAGCTGTACCTGGTGCACAGGCTGGACAAGGAGACCACGGGAGTCATGCTGCTGGCCAAGACTGACCACACGGCACGGGAGCTGCACAACCTGTTCAGGCTCAGGAAAGTCATCAAGAAATACTGGTAGGGACTGGCATTGGAAAGGATGGTGACTGTGTGTGTGTGAGTGTGTGTGTGAGTGTGTGTGTGTGTGTGTGTGTGTGTGTGTGTGTGTGTGTGTGTGTGTGTGTGTGTGCGCGCGTGTTAGCCTGGTTACCAAACCTATTATAGCTCCCGAGTCCTACATCCTCTTAGGTTTGGTAACCAGGCTATGTGTGTGTGTGTCTGTGTGTCTGTGTGTGTGTGTGTAAAACTATGGTGTACACTGAACATTGTGTAATAGTACTCTATAACATATATTGTGATATGTATTTCTTATTGCAACAGCTGTAGGCATTGTTTCAACCCTGAATAGGTATCTACGTATTTAAAATCTTATATATATATTTATCTATTTCCTGTTGTGCACCAGGGTTCTCTCCATGGGGGTACCATCACACGAAGAAGGTGAGTCTCTACTATTTGGTGTTCAGATTTTTAATTTTTGTCTTAGCCAACTTCATTCCCTTGTAGTTCCCTAGTTCCTAGTAGAAGATATCATTTGGATTCACACTTAATACTGTACTAGTACTTGTATAATTACTTTGTACATGTCTGTAGTGGTACTAGTAACTCTTTCCTGGACAAATAAATAAATCAAACCAACCTTCTGCAGGCGTTGTAGACATCCCCATCAAGGAAGTGGAGGTGACGGCACACGGCCGGCCCCACTACAGGATGGTGTGCGTACCAGAGTACAGCGAGGAAACGAAGCTTCTCGTGAAGAAGAAGAGGAAAAGCGATGAAGCACAGGTGGCTGTTACCGGCTTCCGAGTCCTGGACAGTCGTGGCTCCTGTGCACTGGTGGAGTGCCAGCCGGAAACCGGTAGGCAGGGCTTTGAATTTTTTTTAGCACACTGGTGTTGTAAAGTCTATTATGTCCTACCTGGGCCGCGATTACGTTCGATACGGGTGTTCCGGCCCGTGTGATAACTAGCGGTACGGCCCGGGGGTTCTTTACGTGATGGCCCGGGCCTTCCAAATGTTCCATAGAATGATTCGAACGTGTTTCGGCCTAACAGCGTGCACCGATTTCGAATTCGAAATTCGAATACAGAATCCGGACGTTGGAATTGATGTTTTCGCATTTTTTGGGTTTAGGGACCAAAATCTTTGCTCATTCGCATTGAAAGGCGTGTTTTCTTGGGTGGGTATGACATAAATAAAATACATCACGGTGTATTCCGCATCACCCTCGGTCCCAGCCCTCCCGCGGATCGGATCCGACGCGCGGTCGGGCTGGTACCTCGTGCGATACGGAATACCCCGTGTTGTATCCTATATCTATCCCTGGTTTATCGGGGCAACCCTAATTGCTCCTTAAAAACTAAGAAAAAACTTTTTGTAACATTTTGTAAGTTGGTATGGGATCTCTGGATGGCAGGTTTTAAAACATGGCTTCATGGCTTGAAATCTTGCATAAGAAAATCCAAGTACGGTATCCTATGTGATACCAACCCAATGAAAATATATTTGGAATGGACCTATACCATCATTACGTCACAGTTTGTTTACCTGTTCTAAAGAACATTCTAGAACGGCCAGTTAAAGAATAAAGATCATTTCAAACTTTTCAAAGTAAGGTATGTCTGATTTTTTGCTGCGTCTAGTTTTGTTGACACAGCATTACATGGGTGGGTATGGGTGATTTAGTTGTGACATTAGACGAAAGTAGTTCTGTATTAAAAGCTTTATATTAGGCTAACGCTACACAAACACATGTACACACCGCGCTACGCGCCCCTGTACAATATAAACGTCAATTGACCGGCATTCATTGCGGTAAACAAACTGTGACGTAATAATGGTATAGGTCCATTGACACGGCTTGTCTCCCTCATGCAGGTGTAAAACACCAGATCAGGTCTCACATGTCCTACGGGCTGGGCTGTCCCATCCTGGGGGACCACAAGTACTCCAACCACAACAAGCTGGCACCACAGGTGACTATTACTACTGCATAACTTACGTGCACTGCACAAAAAGTTCTGTATATGCCTGTGTCAATGGTAGTACACAATACTGGTAGAGTTGGGAAATGTTTTACTAGTACTAGTAGTGGTACTATGTGTGTGTGTAGTAGTAGTAGTACTAGTACTCCAACCACAACAGATACTGCTGACCGGAATGTTGAAAAGGTTGGGCATTGAGCAGTCCAAAGTGCGGTACTTCCAAAATGGACCTATTTCAAATTATTACTCTGTTTGGCTCTTTGTTTTTCTTGTTCATAGTCTCTTGTTTTTCCTCCTACTTACCCCAGAGACTAGCCTGGAATCCATCCGTGAACGCTGTACGTTCCTGCGCTCTGCCTTGTGGAGGAACGGAGCAGAGACACAGAGTTCACGGATGGACTCCTGGCTACCAGAGACTGCCGACGGGAATGTTGGATAGGTTGGGGATCGAGCAGCCAAAAGTGCAGTGCCTCCCAAATGCACCTCCAAAATGGACCTGTTTCTAATTTATTACTCTGTTTGACTAACCATTTCTGTATTTTCTCCTGTTTTTCCTCCTACTTGTTCCAGAGACTGCCGACGGGAATGTTGGAAAGGTTGGGAATTTAGCAGACCAAAGCTTGGTACCTGTGTCCCAATGCACTTACACAAAATGGACCTATTTCTAATTTATTACTCTGTTTGGCTAACCGTTTCTGTATTTTCTCCTGTTTTTCCTCCTACTTGTCCAGAGACTGCCGACGGGAATGTTGGAAAGGCTGGGAATCGAGCAGCCCAAAGCCCAGTACCTCCCAATGCACCTCCAAAATTGGAACTCTTTCTTATTTGTTACTGTAAATCTTAGTTTTTTCTACTTGTTCCAGCGACTGCTAACAGTAACAAGAATGTTGGAAAGGTTGGGGATCGAGCAGCCAAAAGCGCAGTACCTCCTGATGCACCTACACAAAATGAGCTTCTTTCAAATTTATAACTCTGTTTGGGCTAACTGTTGTTTTTAAATATCCTCCCATTCTCCCCTCCTACTTGTTCCAGAGACTGCCGATGGGAATGTTGGAAAGGTTGGGGATCGAGCAGCCAAAAGCGCAGTGCCTTCTAATGCACCTCCAAAATGGAACTCTTTCTAATTTATTACTCTGTTTGGCTAACCATTTCTGTATTTTCTCCTGTTTTTCCTCCTACTTGTTCCAGAGACTGCCGACGGGAATGTTGGAAAGGCTGGGAATCGAGCAGCCCAAAGCCCGGTACCTCCCGATGCACCTCCATGCCAGACAGCTTATCCTGCCAGGCTTAAGGGATGGACGTGGTTTGTACCTCACCGCGAGGCTGCCCGATTTCTTCAACAGGAACATGAGGAAACTACGAATCAGAGTCCCGAGAGGAGTGAAGTGATCTGTCAGTAACAAGAAATTTTGGAAAATTGTAAAGCAATGAGGCAGGGCTGACATATTCAGGACTCTGAACAAAGGATGACATTTACTCATGTCACACACACTTTTATTTTTACTCATAACTTAATCATAAGGCCACACCAATTTAATTTCTCGGTTAACGGATTTGCCCGCTTCGTTTTTTTCTCATTTGCAAATAAAAATAAAGATTCAGAATAAACTGCGAAATGCTCATATTTTGCCCTGAACAGTTGAAAACAGTTCTTTTCATCCTAGTTGTTACAGTTATTCCATCTTTCAATGCAATGGTATCATTAAAAGTTCAAAATTCAGTGTTTAAATTGTGAACCAGCCTTGTGTTGGCTTCATGGCTCCTATTGTACCATTTTGGGCCATAATAGGATGCCTAGGCCTGTTTTTATTTATTTTTTGCCCGCCCGCTCCATTTTTTTTCTAGAAAAATCCGTTAACCAAGAAATTAAATTGGTGTGGCCTAATTACAAAGTGCAAGACACCAGTGCATTTACAATACTGGTGGTAAGATCAGCTGGATACTAGTATGGCTGTCGCAGCCATCATTGATAATTGAAGAAAAGCATCACCCTTTGTCTACTGATTAACACAGTACAGCTCAACACGACTGCTGCAGTCTTTTCCCTGGCACTTAAAGGCATCCAATGCGATTTCATGGCAGCAAAAATGGAGATATTCTGAATAAGGCAATCTTTGTCATATTCACACATACTGCTTGACATTAGCACATTTGAGTCAGTATTTGGGCTTTTACAACTGCAGAAACAAGCCGCAAGATGAGTCCTTTATTTTCTGGGAGGTACTCCAAAAATCAGCCAAGGGCCCTTCCAGTTACATTTTCCGTCAGAATTTTTGCTCCAAGAGGGTCAATATACATTGGGATAGTGTTGTTTCAACTCAGTATGAAGGTAAACAACTAGAATATTGACTTTGAAAAATCAGGTTTCCAAGCCCTAAAAACTACACTGGATGCCTCTAGGGGCTGCTACTCTAAGTTAGTCACCAATTGGTAAAATTAATACATTTTCTCTTGTGCTGGATAAAGGTTTTAACAGTTCATAAAGTCTACAGAGTTGTTATACATAAATGTCATGGATTTAAAAAATCCAGAGCACCAGCTGACACACGTAAAGTCATGTACAATTGCTACCATGCGATCCATATTAAATAATTAAAGTAAAACACCTAGTTTGAAGGCTGAATAACAGGACAACAATACATTCTCAATCACTACAATGTATATATACATGTAAATGCATAAGAAATGCATAATTGTGAGAGTAAACAAAGAATTTTTCAAATATTTCACAGTGTATAAACTGTGGCTTACTATTTTACATACTACTTAGAAAGGATAGGATCCTTTTGACACCTTTTGGTGCATTGAGCAGCACTAAACTCTTCATTTCTACAGCCCTTTGGTCACACAGTTTTGCAATGACACAACAGTTGAGGGCTAATACATTCTATTTGGTGATCAACCATTATACTCCTTTGCATATTATTATTATCATTATTAAGTGTTGAGTGAGAAATAAGCAATATGGACTATTTTCCCTTGTATTTTCGTTTGAAAAGTCGCCTGTATGGTTGGGGTTTTCCCCAGATACAAAGCTAGCACTCTACATTCCCACTAGGTATGTTAGGAGTTACATTTTTTTCACAGAACATTTTGAACACCATTATGGAAATGTTTTTTTCCTATTACACCACAGATTTGATGCACTAGTAGTGACATTAAGATGGACAACTTACACTTCATGTAATTGCAAGATCCTGGTTAACCTTTACAAAAACAAAATATATGTACATAAAAACGTTTAATCTTACTACGGGGGAGGGGGGGGTTACATATAGAACACGTAAAAAAGAAAATAAATGACCTTGCCTGGAATAAAATATAATGATCTCACTGGGGACAACTAGGAAAACTAAATACTTTGTGGTTCATGTCAAAAATGAGAAACATTCTCGGTGACAATCTTGCATATGCTGTCTAAAGCATAAAGAAATCCTAATGCATTTAGTGTTGCTGGCAACAGCTTGTATTCAATTATAACAAATGTCTTGAGCATGTACATTATCATATTTTATTGATTTAGCATGAAAGTTCATCTGTGTTGGTACAAATCATTATGAAATAAAGACTGAACTGTAACTTCCAACACTAGGAAAATTTGGGGTAAGTCCCAATTCTATACCTTGTGTTGGAAGTTACAGTTCAGTCTTTATTTCATAATATTTTATTGATTTCGGGGTACTTTCTAGCCCAGGGAATTTGATTTGGGAACAAATCTAAATATTATGAAGTCGTTATTGCAAGTGTTACAGAATGCTATAGGAAATGTGCGAAATTTGGCCTATCCAATATGAAACTTATATTCACTCTGCATGTTTGTAAGGAGTATACATGTACATTGTGTGCCTTATCGTGGCTTTATGTTCAACATATTTAGTTTGCCAGTGATCATGAACAGTTATGTACAAAGTCAATATCCATCTTTTAATGAGAGACCATGTCACAATGCCAGTAGATGGGGTGTTTGTGATTGGGATCTACAAATGTACAACTGAGGAGGGTCTAAATTAGCATTGCTCTACTACTGTTCATCACATCTGCCACAGTGTGTGTGTGTGTGAGTGTGTGTGTGTGTGTATGTGTGCTTATGCGTGTGTTTGCATGTGTGTTTGTGTGTCTGTGTGTGTGCTTATGCGTGTGTGTTTGCGTGTGTTTGTGTGTGTGTGTTCATGTGTGTTTATGTGTGTGCGTGCACATGTGTGTGTGTGCTAAGATTTAGTACTAGTATGATAAAACTGTGATGTCAGATCTTTATGTACATCGGATTATGTCCTTTCCAATGATTCTCTATGATCAGTTGTGGTCCGAGTCTGACCGGGCTTTTCTTTCTGATCATTTTTAGATTTGTACACAGGTTTAGGTTGTGTGGCCACCGGCAATATTAGTCGTGTATATTACATTTGTAGTATCCAACGACTCATTATGGTCAGTAATGGCCTGAGTCTGAACTTGTCCTGTCTGATCATTTTCAGATTTGTACAAGGCGTCAGGCTCAGAGGCAGCCTGCTCTGTGGTATATATTACATAAATTCTAGTAGTGGACGATTCCTTACCGTCTGTGTTGGGGTCTGATTTGCCTTGCCCTGTCTGATCATGCTGGGTTTCCATGTTTTCATGATCACTGGCCACTACAGTAGCTGTGGTGTTTGTGTTGGATTTAGTGGCCAGAGACTGACCCTGTCTTGGCTGATTCTGTTGGCTCATATCTTCATAATGGTGATCAAGATCACTGGCCACTACACTAGCTGTGGTGTTTGTTTTAGATCCAATGAAGACCTGAGACTGGCCCTGCCCTGTCTGCTTATGTTGGGTCATATCTTCATACTGACAATCAACAGCAATGGGCACTACGCTAGCTGTGGTGCTTGTTTCAGATACACTGCTGGCCTGAGACTGTGGCTGTATTTTCTTATTATGTTGTTCATTATTTTCAAACTGGTGATCTTGATCAGTGGGATCATGCTGGTCGTTATTTTCATACTGTTGGTCATGAACCTCGGCCACTACTGATGAAGCTGTGGTGTTTGTGTTGGATTCAGAGATGGGAGACTGTCTCTGTCCGTTCTCATCTGAAGTCTCGATACCTTCGTAGAACTTATTAACCTGTAAGGCATCTAGTTGTGTTTTACTTTGAAGACTTTTAACATTCAAGACATCTTTGGGATTTTTCCCTGCCCCTCTCTTGTAGCAAATTGCCAGAATGATGGTGCAAATCAGGACAACGACGGCTATGGAGCCAAAGACAGAGGCTATGACAACTACCGGCGGCAACCTGGGATCAGATTCATGGAAAGTGTAGTTTTCATGGGAAGTGTTGTTTTCTGGTTTACGTGTGCTGACAGATAGGGTGGTGAATGTGGTGCCTACAGGGCGTCCTGTTAAACCAGCGTTGTTGAAGTGCCAGTGATAGTGTGAGGTGTGGGAAGTGGAGGAATTGTACGAGTAATTGCCATTTTCCAATTGGCCATCGTCCTTGCAAACCAGGTCTTTCGGGTCGATATCTTTAAGCTTTCGTCCTTTGAGCTTGGCAGGCTGGGAACATACTATTTGGTCTTCAAAGGAATGAGGGCCATTCATTTTTAGCCTGAAGGGAGCCATCCTACAGTCGCATTGCCAGGGGTTCTTACCAATTGCAACAGTAGAAATGGATGCTAGGGTGTCATACGCTGACTGGGAAAGGACAGATATCTGATTGGATGTAAGTTTCAACTTTTGTAGATTTGGTAGATTTGAGAATGTACCAGACTGAATGCCAGTTATCTGGTTGGAGTGTAGAAACAGCTGTGTGAGCTTTGGTAGATTTGAGAATGTACCAGGTTTGATGTCAGTAATCTGGTTGAAGCCTAAGGTTATACTTGTGAGCTTTGGTAGATTTGAAAATGTACCAATCTGTATGTCAGTTATGTTGTTGGATCTAAGGTACAACCCTGCGAGCTTTGGTAGATTCGAAAGTGTACCAGGTTGAATGTCAGTTATCTGATTTTTCTGGAGGTCCAATTCTGTGAGCTTTGGTAGATTCGAGAATGTATCAGGCTGAATGTGAGTTATCTGGTTTCCTTCTAGCCACAAAACTGTGAGCTTTGGTAGGTTCTTCAATGTACCAGGTGTAATGTTGGTTATCTTGTTGTTTCTTAGGTTCAATGTTTCGAGGTTTGGTAAACCCGAGAATGTACCAGGCTGTCTGATGCGAGTTATCTGGTTTTTTTGGAGGTGCAATGTTTTGAGCTTTGGTAGATTCGAGAATGTACCAGACTGAATGTCAGTTATCTGGTTTCCTTCTAGCCACAAAACTGTGAGCTTTGGTAGGTTCTTCAATGTACCAGGTGTAATGTTGGTTATCTTGTTGTTGCTTAGGTTCAATGTTTCGAGGTTTGGTAAACCCGAGAATGTACCAGGCTGTCTGATGCGAGTTATCTGGTTGTTGGATAGAGACAACTCTGTAAGACGTTTTAGATTTGAAAACATACCAGGACGAATGCCAGTTAGCTTGTTATGGTGAAAAAATATACTCTTCAGATTTGGTAGTATATTTGAGGAGAAGGAAGCAACCTGAATGTTAGTTATGTGATTGAACATTATGCGCAATCCTATCAGCTTTCTATATCTTTTGAGCTCTGACTTATATACAGATGTGATCAGATTTTTATTCAACGTTAAGTAGTGGATACCTTTTGGCAGGTCCTGAGGGATGCTGGTGAGGAGCATTTGTGTGCACTCGCACAAATAGGTGCCGCACTTACTCCTGCAGCCAGCTTCCGGCATGTTGGGCTCCATCAGGATGACGAGAAGGAAGATCAGCACGTGTCGCAGCTTTCTTCCCATGGTGTTTTGTGACCGTAATTGAATCAAAGGCTGCAATGAAAAATAATACTTCAAATGTACACTGGAGTTAAATGAATGCATGGCAGCAATAGTAAATGTTACTACTTCAACAGACTCTTAAGTTATGCTGGCCACGGAATCACACAAACAAGACTGACAATGAAAACAATTGCCATGGCAACGGTGGTTGCTGTTAGGGTTATTGTTGGCATGGCACTGCCATCATTTCATGATTTTGAGGAAGACTTGGTACCTATTAAGTCTAGACAGATACAGTGCACTCCTCCCCTGAGTGTATAGTGAACGAGCCCCGGGGTCACAGAAAGTAGGGCCATCGGGGCAGAGAGGTATTCCCAAGGGTTGGGCATAGATGTGGGTCAGAGAAATGCCTGTGGACATTCCGCATGCCTGTGGACAAAATGCCTGTACCATTCCTAGAATTCTTGAAAATTGCACACAATACTGTACCATTAGGCTCCTCCATGAGACGTCGCCAAAAACACCTTCACTTTTAATGGCGGTAATTAAGAATGCTGTATGGAGAAGAAAATCTACTCAGGGAGAAAAAAAAAAGATTTTCAAAAATATTAACTAGGGACTACAAGTGTTTCCTTTTTGGCCCTCCACTGTGCAACGCCATATGCATAGTGACGTATGCCCTGAAGTTCTGCCGCGCGCATTGGAGTCTAAATTAGTCTGGCATCTGGATATCCGATTCTGTGAACCCCGAATTTTGAATATTTACACCGAGCAAATTGTTTACTCTGTTGCTGCCCTTTGCTGGCTGAGTTTAAAATATTTTGGAAAATTTTCTTAAATTTTTAATGTTGAATAATGACAACTGTTACTGTATAATCATTTTCTAGACCGACACTTAAGAATTTGTAGATAGCCTCACAATTCAGCCTTTCAGTATGACTGCCAGGAGGCATGTATGTCTTTTTGCTGACAAAAATTGTTTAACCAGTCTACTACTACTACTACTACAACTACTACATATTTGCACTGCAGTGTCATTGGCAAATATACATGGCAAACATTGGCAAATATACATGTACTTCATGTGACATTGTCTATTATAGATCTAGAGCCCACGCGAGTAGATTTTACTGAACTGAACTACTCATTTTCACCTGAGTGAGGAAAGTCGTGTTAAGGCTGTTGAGATTAATGGATCATTTGCCTTAGAACACCTGCTCCAGATGCCACGTACAGTCATACTGACAATAGGAACAATTGGCTTGTCTTCTACAGATAGAAGTATTGATGTCACTGATGAAACATGTCACTCAATCTCCATTTTATAAAACTTGATATTTTTTTTGCGGGGAAGAGGGAAGGGGTCACAGCAGTCTATTAGAATCCGGTACTAGTATTCTGATGTTGGTGCTTTTCAAAACAACCAACCGAGAGTTTTTCAGAATAAATTCAGGTAACTTTAGGCCACACACGTAAAATAGTAATATGTGAGGTACACACGCGGTGGCTAATTCAACTATGTTTGTGCGAGAGCCTCTCTTTCTAACTACTAAGTGAAGAAAGAAGATTTATAAATTTTGCTATTTTGTTGAGTTTTTAGTTTTGTTGAGGCGCCGGTAACCTAATACCTCCCTAGTTAACTAGTTATTAGGATTTTACCTTTACAAAGGACTATCAAGGAAACAGGAAGGAGCTTTAAAACCAGTTGCCGTTCTTTACAACACTGTGTTGTAATTTTCTGCAAAGGTCCTGACAGCTAAATTTCTTCTATCATAAACACAAAATGTGTTTCCTTTCTTGCAATTCTAATTGCAAGAAATTTAAGTAATCGTCACCATAATGTCTGCTTTAGAAATGATACAGTTTTATGCCTAGCCTATATCATGGTACAATAGAGAGGACTAGTAAATACTTACCTTTCAAATGTATCCAGAATTTTCTGAAAAGCGAGACACAATATCTTGTACTGTCTGGGACTTGCGAGGACAGCCGTTGTTCGTGTGCAGCGCTCGGTGGTGAGACCTCAGCCTGTACGGTCTGGGAAAAACACCTGCAAGTCTCGATGTGTACCAGTTGATTGTCTGCTCTGTCTTCTTAAGTTCTGACTTTTCAGATTGAATTCGCGTTTGTACCTTTTTTCGTAAGACCTGTCATGTGAAAAACAAGTCGAAGTTTTATCCCTTGAGCATGATGCTGGTTGTGTAACAGTTGATTGTCTGCTCTGTCTTCTTAAGTTCTGACTTTTCAGATTGAATTCGCGTTTGTACCTTTTTGTTACGATCTGACATTTGAAAAGTCTTATCCCTTGAGCATGACGCTGGTTGTGTAACAGTTGATTGATTGTCTGCTATGTTTTCTTAAGTTCTGACTTTTCAGATTGAATTCGCGTTTGTACCTTTTTGTTACGATCTGACATTTGAAAAGTCGAAGTTTTATCCCTTGAGCATGGCGCTGGATGTGTACCAGTTGATTGTCTGCTATGTCTTCTTAAGTTCTGACTTTTCAGATTGAATTCGCGTTTGTACCTTTTTTGGTAAGACCTGTCCTGTGAAAAACAAGTCGAAGTTTTATCCCTTGAGCATGGCATTGGTTGTGGAACAGTTCATTGTCTGCTATGTCTTCTTGAGTTCTGACTTTTTAGATTGAATTCGCGTTTGTACCTTTTTTGGTAAGACCTGGCATGTGAAAAACAAGTCGAAGTTTCATCCCTTGAGCATGGCATTGGTTGTGCAACAGTTGATTGTCTGCTATGTTTTCTTAAGTTCTGACTTTTTCAGATTGAATTCGCGTTTGTACCTTTTTGGTAAGACCTGGCATGTGAAAAACAAATCGAAGTTTTATCCCTTGAGCATGGCATTGGTTGTGTAACAGTTGATTGTCTTCTCTGTTCATTGAACCTTGTATATCAAAGTTCACTGCACAACGACTGTCACGGGTACAATGTATGGCAAATAATAAGGTTACGTGTGTGTGTTGACAGACTTTATGCCGAGCTTATGTCTTAACATATACCTTTGTTTGCGAGAAAGGACCTGGAAAAGTAAAGCCTTGTGCCCTTTAAATTTGATATTTCTTTCAAATGATAGGTTCATTGATCGTTTAGATACATGGTCTGACACACAGCTAGATCTACTTGAAGATTAGATTTACATTTGAACATCCAGTTTGTTGCTAGTAGCCTTCGTCTCTGACCATGCTGTCTGCTCTGTTTATTGAACCTCGTTGTGGCTATCGGCGATTGAAATTTTATTTTTTACTATTTTGATAGCAAAATACATTTACATATTTCACACCAAAATCTACTTTTCGGTCGCAGTATCGTGCTATTGAAGTGTCAGTTTTACCTAGACTCAGATTAACTTTTGCAAGGCGTCAGAACCACCAATGCCGACCGTCCCAGCTGATGTCGGTATGCGGGGCAAGTATCGATTGTCTCACAATAGTCCAGTTACTCTTAGAAGATTCCCGGATGAAAGCACTGGAAACAGCTGCCCGCCAAATCTGCTAGCCTCTACCAGGCTTCGGGAGGCGGCTGGATCATGGAAAGAGTAGAAATCGGCCAAATAGAGAGATAACCTGTACACATGCCAGGGGAGAGAACATTTTTCGGGTGCGGCAAAATGTTCTCTCCCAGCAGACAAACTCCCCTGCCGTGTTATCTCTCTCTTTGGCCGATTTGTACTCTTTCCAGCTGCCTCCCGAAGCCTGGTAGAGGCTACTACGATGGAACAGGTTTAGCCAGCGTCACACGACAGGCCGAGTCTGTGAGCTCAAAACTCGTCATTTTCGGCATCAATACGACCTGTGCCCTCTCAATCACTTCGCCGTAGGATTATTTAGGGATCACCCATTGTTCACACTTAACCGTGTCCTGTCCGATGTGGAAGGGTAGATTTTCATAGTAAAAATACGCTCGATTCTCTGGTGATTTTGAAATTCGGCGACCCTCTGGCGACTGAAGGTTGTTGACTGTGTGACATGTAATTATTGACAGGATGGCTGCGACAAGGTTGCTGACGTGGGTTCTACCTTTATGTTTCCTGTCTTGTAAAGGTATGTTTCATGACATTATGTTCTAATTCCTTCCTTCCTTCTTTCCTTCCTTGCTTCCTTCATTCTAAGCGGTAGAATACTTTCTATAAAAAATTCTAGTAATAAGAGACACTGTAAATGGTTACAAGAACACATCGGATTATCGACTAGTGAGTAATCAAAGAAATTATGATGGTGAGACAATGAATTTATTTTTTGTTTGTATTTAACAATAAACAAAATTCGAAATTAGCCCCAGTTCTGGTCAACTTCTGGGTACGTTTACATAATATATAGTAGGTCTTTTTTTTATTCAAACAGCAAGAAAATAAATACATACGAGATGACGACAAACTCAAGTTCCTTAGAACTAAATTGTCGGCGCCATCTACACAAGATACTGATGAAGAACACGCTGGTGGGAACGGGGTGTTAAAGAGGCAATATATGAAAGAATGTACAACCCCACCCTCAACAGGGAAGGGGGGCTACGGGTCGATCTTTCCGGCACTTGGGATTTGGCACTCCCAGCCCCGAGAACAGACAACACTTAAGCTCCTGTTCTGTATAACAGGAGCTTTCAGACTAATTTGCATCATCTTGTCTTGACTTGTCTGACTTTTGTTCCTTTTTCGACTTCCAAAAATTTGTCTTCACTTTATTTGCATATCAATCAATAGGTTGTGCTTATAAACCTGTTTTCCCCTCTGGTCTCTCAGTCACTGACGAAAGCTAGTGGATACTAGCTGAAACGTCTGACGTTTTCAAAATCATATCCAGTTGCTTGAGTAACTGCTTTTTGGCGTATCGTATTACCTGGATGTCTAACCTTCATCGACGATACTGATGATTACCTGGACAAATAAATAACTATAGAAAATCAAAACTAACAAATTGGAGTGAGCGCAAGTCCCAACCCTATCCCTTAGAATTACTGAAAGGACACAAGTACTGGTCTTTGAATTCACGAACCGATATTTGATTGTCCAACTAGCCTACTCAGTCAAGAGACCTGGCGTCAGCCGAGACGAAAACGGCGGTGACGACACCACCTACGTCATGGCCGTGACGTATGAGCTGCGCAATGACGTCACCAGACACCTGCCCCCCGTGAAGCTAAGACTTGACCTGCCGGTGGGGTCAACCATCTATGACGTCATGGTCGCGGCGGCACAGAAGGACTGGCGGTGTGGGTAGGTCCAATTTAATTTTTTGGTTGGGTGAAAAAAAAATCGTGCAAAAAAGAAACCCCGATAAACACGCCCAAAATAACCCAAACCTCTGCTTCGAGAGTACTATAATTGTATTCAGAACCAAGCCCATCTAGTTCTATGGCTGAATGGGTTAGGGTTTAGGATCAAGGTTTGTTTATTGGAATTCACCACAAGGTATACAAGTGGAAGGGAGGACAAAACAGGTGCATTGACACCTTTTTACAAGTTGTCCTCCCAAGCACAACATACAGAATATAAAAACAGATTACATTATTAAATTGCAGTAATAAACAACATTAACATCAAATATTGTACATCAACATCAAGTATAATACATTAAGCATAAAAACTGTACAATGCAATTAAATACAATAAAAACTGTACAATGCAATTACACGTGTAATGCAATATTGTTGTGAATAATTATCGGGTATCCAAGACACACATGGGCCCAGGACCGCACCAGATGAAGGGACCAAGGATGGGCGGTTAAGGCCTAAGTAAGTAAGTAAGAGCATAGTTCATGCATATCCAGAACCTAAGGGCAAATCTATCTGGAACCGTGCCTGAGGAAGGTTCTGGATAAAGCACAGTTCTGCAAACAACAGGTATCGTGAGTGACATTCGCTTCTAAACGTTTGAAAACAATATGCTTCCAAACGTGGTGCTGTTGAAAAATGGAATACGACTTGATTCGCCTGATGCAGGTTTGGAGCAGTTCCGAACGGCCGCTGGGGTTATAAGATCGACTCTGTGGGCGGAGTGGCCGGGAGTTCTGAGAAGGGAACATTCTGGTCGGTGGAGAAACCGGCTTACCAACCAATCACGGAAGGTGATGCATCTACATACATACATACATCTGTATATAATCTTAGGTAGTCTGAAGGTGACAAAAAATATAGTTTGCAAAAACTTTGGGAACCACTCCTACTTACCAATCATCGTTCCTAGCTTATTCCGTTGAGTGGTTGTTGAAACAAAGTTTGATCGCACTTTCAATAAAAGTCTGTTGAAAGAAGTGTTGGAAATTTCCTGTGCTTTTTTTTGGCTTTGGCAGCTTTTCCATCATACGCCTATGTCTTATTTTCCTTTTCCTCAGGAGTTGACAAGGTAGCTGTGACGGACGGAGATCACGTGGTGCTCAGATACGTCATGGAGGAGGACAGCTGTGACCCATGATGTCAGGATTCAATAAAAATCATGTCATTTTAAACGTTTTTTGATTTATCTACTCTATAGCGTTTTCAATGTAGCTTTGATATGCTGTATTTTGGTTGCCCCTCACAAAAATGAAAGATCTACAGAGCCAACATGAGTTTGTGCATGTTTATGTACAAAGTGTGAATCACTATGTTTTTATGTACAAATATTGTGCCCTGAAACGTCTGCACAGGAGGCTATATGCAGCCTGGCAATTCTGCTGGAAAACCTCCAAGCAGCTTCAAATTTGCAATTCTATTGTTATATTTATTGTTTTGATTCACCGACACAGATAAAGCCTCACATCACCAGTAGACTACTTCACATTTCCACCAAAAGGCACATTTAAGTATCACATCCACATCTTTTTAACAATATTTCATCTGTGAAACACCATCTATACAAGATGCATGTATACCTATAACACCTGCTATCTTATCTATTGAGCTTTTTTCATGCTGTGACAATTAAAAGAGAATATCAGTATAAACATTAGCCATGATAATATAATGTACACTGAATTTCCTTCAACCCATGTTGAATACATGACTTAAACGTTTAAGCCCTGACTTAAGTAGAAACATTTAGTACTTATAGCAATTCAAACATGCTAACAGCATTGAATAATCCTGTTATAACTTGATCCCTGCATGTATACTATTACAGAAAAGGGGAAATAGTTCCTAGAATCTCCCATAAACTGCATATCAGGTACTAGGCATTTGTCTCTATTCTTCAACTAGCAGCATACTTAACTAATGGACACAATGAAAATCATTATAATACAAATCCTCTTTCATCTGATGTCTGAGATGTGTGCTGTCAAAAGTTGTACGGTAAGTGATTTTCATTGTGTTCTTACAATATGTACGCTATGATTCTGCCAACACAGATGAGGTTTCATTCTAACCAGCAGCCTCATTTGTAGCTGTACAATTACAGTTGTCGTCCACCTCAGTCCCAAGCTGATCGCCTACTTCTTGGATAGGACTGCAGAAAAGAAGAAAAGCACAGTCATTATTTATTCTTATATTGGACCACACGCAGGCAATCAGGGATAGCAGGCTTCACCCCCAGCTTCATTTTCAGCTTGAGCTGGTGTGTTACACCGAGGGGCATGCAGTTCCTTTTTGGTTCGAAGCCCCAAAGTTTCAGTCTAGCTTAGGTTTATATCAGAAGACTTACATGTAAGAATAACAATTTTTTCTCTCCTAATCCAAAAGCTTCAGTCTAAGTTAGTTAGGGATAACATCACTACCACGTCACTACCACTTTGTGTGGGTTCGTGTGGCGCAACGGCAGCGTTCGCGGCTCGCAATCAAGAGGTCCCGGGTTTGAGTCCTGACATGCCACTGATCTTGTGCCCTTGAGAAAGGCACTTAAAACGAACTTTCCCCACCAGACTCAAGTGAAAATGAGTATTGTCCGTCCTGTATTTGGTTCTATGTGTGGGACACAACACCAGCAACAGCTGCCTCTGTTCCACATGTATTGCATGCACTGTTGCAATTTCAATAAATCAAATCAAATCACTACCGCTCACCTTTGGTTCGAAGCCCCCCAGCTTCAATCGTGCCGCCTCCTGTCTCAGTACTTCCTCATACTCCTCCTCTGCTCTCTTCTCCTGCGCCAGCTCCTGCTCCAGCCGCTCCCTCGCTGTGCGCTGGCGCTCACGACGCTCCGTGATCTAAAAAAGTCAAAGAAAACGTCTCAATAATGATTGTTTAGTGTTGACAATCATTGATTATCACAAAAGTTTGTATTTGAAGTTTCTTTATTTCTCAGTCATTTGCTTTCTTGCTCTAAAATCATGATACTTCCACTATGCACATTTCTACATAAAATTACGTACAAAAAACTCAACGTGCAAATTAAGGTTTCATATGATGATCTACTTTTAAGTTCATAGTAGCTAAGTGGTGCACCTAGATTTTTGCTGGTTAGCTCAAAAGTCAAAAACTGGGAGCCCGCAAACCCACCTGTCCCTGGACCTCCTGCCTCCTCTCCTGCACGGCTCTCTCCCGCTCCTCCTCCTCCTGCCGAGCCAGCCGATTGGCCACCTCCAGCTGCCGCAGAAGGTCCTCCCGACTACGCAGAACCTCCTCCTGGCGCCGCCGCAACGCCGCCATCTTAGCCGCCAGCTGGTCCTGACGCTCCTCCAGAACCTGGGGGGGGGGGGGCGGGTCAAGTACCGGGTCAGGTCACAGATCAAAGGCGGTCAGGTCACAGGTCAAGGTCATTCAGTTCATGGGTCAATGTCATTCAGATCACAGGTCAAGGTCATTCGGGGCACAGGTCAAGGTCATCCATATCACAGGTCAAGGTCATTCAGGTACCAACCAAGGTCATTCAGGTCACAGGTCACGGTCATTCAGGTCCCAAGGTCATTCAGGTTACAAGTCAAGAGGTCATAGGTTGTGTTCTCATGATGGCATTTACCAACATCAGTTACAGTAGTGTTTCCAATAATAAAAACCAGGTCATAGTGGCCTCAAGGAATCAAACGTGATACAATGTCAGAGGACACAGGATTAATCTTGTTATTTTCATTAGATGACAAACTCTGTTGTTGTACCTCCTTCATGAGCCTTTCCCTGGCCAGCCTCTCCCGCTCCCACTCCGCATCCCGCTTGGCCCACTGTCGCTCGGCCTCGTGCCTGACACAAAAACATCAGGAAATGTTAGTCAAGACACTGACACATACAAGTCCTATTGAAGATGGAATTACAAACACTATAATCACCAGCAAACCACCAACCAACCAACCAGCCAACTCACCCACCCACCAAACAACCAACCAACCAGAACAACCACTCACCAACCCACGCATCACCCACCCACCCTTGTCTCACCTGTACATCTCATCCAGCTCCTCCTCCCGTTGTTTCTCCAGCCTCATCTATTTCTCCACAACCTCCTTTATCCAGGCTGTGTCGGCCTGAGCCCGCTAACTAACCCACCCACCAACCCACGCATCTTCCACCCACCCACGCATCACCCACCCACCCTTGTCTCACCTGTACATCTCGTCCAGCTCTTCCTCCCGTTGTTTCTCCAGCCGCATCTGTTTCTCCACCACCTCCTTCATCCAGGCTGCGTCCGCCTGCGCTCGCTCCCGTCGCTCCGTCTGCAGCCTCCGGTCCTCCTCCTCCTTCTCCATCAGCGAGGCCAGAATCTTACGGTCCAGCTCCTAGAGGAAAAGACAGTAGATAATCTGTAAATAATTCATAAATAATGGAGCAACCCTAACCCTTCTCCATCAGCGAGGCTAGGATCTTACGGTCCAGCTCCTGGAGGAAGGGGCAACACTCATCAGTACGTCAGTAAATAACTCACCTAACCCTAACCCTAACCCTAACCTAACTCACCTAACCCTAACCCTAACCTAACCCCATCAGCGAGGCCAGGATCTTACGGTCCAGTTCCTGGAGGCAGGGACAACAGTCATCAGTACATCAGTAACCCTAACCTAACCCTAACCTAACCCTAAATCTAACCCTAACCCTAACCTAATCCTAACTCTAACCCTCCTTCTCCATCAGAGCTGCCAGGATCTTATGGTCCAGCTCCTGGAGGAAGGGACAACAATCATCAATACGTCAGTAACCCTAACCTAACCCTAACCTAACCTGACCTAACCTAACCTAACCTAACCCAACCCAACCCTAACCCAACCCAACCCAACCCAACCCAACCCAACCCTAACCTAACCTAACCTAACGTAACCCTAACCTAACCTAACCTAACCTAACCTAACCTAACCTAACCTAACCCTAACCCTTCTCCATCAGCTGCGCTAGGATCTTACGGTCCATCTCCTGGAGACAGGGACAGAGCAACATGAGTCTGGTGTTTCTTACAAACTTGGTGCCTTAGGATGCCATTTCAGCCCTGAAAAAGTTAATTCACGATAAGTTGCAACACACCTGGTACAATTTTATGTTAAGTAAAACCTAAGTTAACTCTCATATAGAGTTATTTCTGCTGTATATCTGATCCTGCTGATTTCTGACTTAACCCCTCAGTATGAACTGGTGCTGGGAGGCTCCCGGTTAACCCTCACCCTGCTTACAACCCCTGCTATCAGTACAACTTTAGTGCTGGGATGAGCCCTCAGCAGAGTAAAGGTTAAAGGCGTGAAGAAGCTGAGTGACTGACCAGTGCCTCCTGGACCTGCTGTGACTTCCTTCTCATCTGCATCTTGTACTGCCTGGACAGAGCTCGCCTAAACACAACGGTAGGAAATGGAACATCTTAGTAATACTATCCAGTTTCAGCATTAATGTTAGCGTGTTGTAGGATTATCAAAGATCTGCAGACAAATGGGACATCTCAACATCCAGTTTCAGCTTAACAGTAACTCAAAACATGGTTCTATTATTCTTCATTCGGACATACTAATACTAGTACTGTTAGCAAGAAATTAGTGAACTAAATTTTCAAATTCAAACATTTTCAACAGAAATATCTATAGTACTTAGTAGATATGATTTTTATCATAATGACATTGTTATCAAATATGTAATCATTCATCAATAACTACATGTACTTAGTAAGACTTACCCAAGATCTGCTTTCTTTCTCTGTTCCTCAAAAGCTTTTCTTTCTGCATCCTATAAAGTAAACAAAAAGAACTTTCTTGTTGGCAAAGATAAGTTTTGCAAAACATTACGTTTTGCTCATCTACATGCTGATAAAACAATTATGACAAAGTTAGTCCTGACTCTCAGTGAACCTGAAACTACAAACTACAGAGTATACATGCATTGTCTTCTCTGTCATCAACAGTGGAAGAGTAGCCCTTAACTAGTTCAAGATCATTTTACTTTCCTTAGATCTTAAACCACCATACATGTACGTTTCAAAACCTCACCATTTTCTCCAGTTCCCACTGTTGTCTAAGCAGTTCTGCCTCTTCCTGCTTCAGGCCTTCAGCCTAAAAAAATACAACATTATTAAGATATATAAACAATTATAATAATTCCATGTCACAAAAGCCTCTATACTCAGTATGCTCTATACTCTATGTCACATCCTAGTACACGATTCATTCACCATAAACTATATCAGACTACAAGAAGACCATTCAGGGGACTTAGAAAATCTGGTCTATGTGGACAGGTGGTCACTATTCATAATGCTTGAGGCAAACTGGGAATACATGTAAGTGGCCACCAAAAAGTCACAATGGCCAGGTTGTCCTTATGCAGAGGTGGTCAGTCACTTAGTGGTTTAACTGTACTTTGTGCTTGTAAAATATACAGGCCATGCAAACCCACTCTTGTATCAGCAGTGCCTCTATCACAATGCACAGGTACTGCATGCATAACACAGAAATCACTCTATACTGAAATGTATGACTGTCACTGTACCTCTCTTTCCCTGTCCTTCAATTCTTCCACTTGTTCTTTCAGAACGCCTGCTTGCCTCTTCTCCTCCTTCCTTCTCTTGATCTCTTCTTCCCTCTGTTTTTCGAGGGCGACCAGTCTCTGTTTCTCCATGACGTCATCGATGTGTTTTTCCTCTGCACGAGCGCTGGCAAGTCTCTGTAGAGGGGGGTGGCAGGTAATGAGATGAAATGCATTTTCCCTAAGTTATATTGATGAAGGTTAGACAATCATACATGTAGATAAATGTACATTTGACACAACCTAAATAAAGATAGATAAAGCAACTGGATTAGGTTTATTCTAGGTTCTGCAAATAATGCAATTATTAATTTAAAACCTCCATGGGTCCCCAAAGAAACCAAATGGTCTAACCCCAGGTACATGTAGATAATTAGAATATGCATGCTTAAGTGTTACGCAAATGGTTTTATAATGAGGGTGAGTGAACTGTATAGTAGGAGGTAGACATTTTCACATGTGACACAGCCCAAACCTTATTCTACTCAAAGCATTTGAAGGAAAATAAATTTATGCTATTGAGGGATCATCAAAATTTTTGAAGCCAAAAAAGTCTGAAAATAAAGGTATTAAAATTAATACTGGAGTAAGCAACATGCTTAAGTATCAATTAATATTCAAAGATCGAGCTCCAGACAATTAACACAACACTTATGAATAAGACTTAAATCTACCCAGATACTGCTCAGCTGAAGCACGTATCCTACAAGCTGAGCAGCAACTAGAGAACCAAAAATTCTTCACAACTTGCTACAGCGGCTCTCCAACTGCTGAACAAATTATCCTGACTAGACTGCAGACTAAAGCTTGGACAAACTTCAAAGGTAAAATCTCTTCTGTAGAGTCAGCATTACTCATTCTAAAATGTAGAAGTAAACTATCTGTACGTTCCCTTCAAATTAAGTACCGTATTAGCGTTCCAAGTCCAGGCTGTTCAGGGAGATTTAAGATTCAAGATTTGATACAACAATTTTTTTATATCATATAATATATGATTCAGCTTTTCAAGCCCTGGTAATATTTTTGTACATACAACATAAATTATGCAAGTACCGGTAGGTGCTGTGTAAGTTTTTTGATGTCTTTGTTAAACCTGGTTACATTAGAGTTTGGATCTGTGACACAATTCCAAAGAAATGCTGGGTTGCAAGTGGTGCAGTTAAAATTTCCATAAGGAGTCAACTGAAAACAATTTTCTTTTGCCTTTGGGCAACATCCACTGGTGACATTAGATTTTTTCATGAATCAAAAATGACTATGACAATATTATAGGTATTAGATAGCCATTGCCATAATTTCTTGGTAAATTTGCTTATGTTTGGAATTTACTTATTTAGGTCCAGTGCTACTTATTATAATTCATTATATACATGTACATGAATAATTTTTGTTGGCAGGACACCATGGGAAGAATGCTTCGACGCTTCATGATTTTCCTTCTCATCATCTTGAAGGAGCCAAACTTTTCCGAATCTAGCTGCAGGTATTCCTACATAACCCCTGGGAACCTCACCCACATCACTCAGAACATGGAAACAGTGTCCCTTACCTCCTGTCAGATTACAAACATTCTTCCTGGTGCACTCTCAAATCTAACCAAGCTCACAAAGTTGTGCCTAGATGGGAATCTATTAACTTACATTCCGTCTGGTATATTCTCAAACCTACCACAGCTCAAAGAGTTGTTCCTAAATGACAACCAAATAACTGACATTCAACCTGGTGCATTCTCAAATTTACCAAAGCTCACAAAGTTACAGCTAACCTCCAATCATATAAATAACATTCAGCCTGGTGAATTTTCAAATCTGCCAATGCTTACAGATTTGTTATTAGCTGGAAATCCAATAAATAAGATTCCAACTGGTGCATTCTCAAATCTACCAAAGCTCCCAGCATTGGATCTAAGCTATTGTCAAATAACTAACATTCAGCCAGCTGCATTCTCAAATTTGCCAAAGCTTACAGGGGTGTTGCTACTGAAGAACAGAATAGAAAACATTCAGACTGGTACATTCTCAAATCTACCATGGCTCAGAAAGTTGTGGTTAGACCATAACCAAATAACTATCATTCAGCCTGGAGCATTTTCAAATCTACCAACTCTCGCATCGATTCACGTACGCTTCAGCAGAATAAATAACATTCAACCTGGTACATTCTTAAATCTACTAAAACTCAAAGAGTTGTGGCTGAGTGACAACCAAATAACTGATTTAATGACAACCTTTCAGCCAGGTGCATTCTCAAATCTACCAAAGCTCATAGCCCTGTACCTAGACAGAAACCAAATATCAAGCATTCGTCCTGGTACATTTTCAAATCTCACAAACACGTCCTCGTATCTACCCCTGACATATCTGAACTTCAACCGTAACAAAATAACCAAGATTCATCCAAGGGCTTTCTCAGATCTTCCACAGCTTAAAATGTTGTATCTGGAGTCAAACCGGATATCTGTCCTCCCCATGCCAGTTTATGGCCTGTTGGCATCTATCTTTCAGGTCAAGATTAAAAATAACCCCTTTCAGTGTGACTGTAAGATGGCTCCCTTCAGGCTAAACATGACAGGGTCTCATTTGTTTGAAGACCAAATAGTATGTTCCCAGCCCGCCAAGCTTAAAGGACGAAAGCTTGAAGATATCAACCCAGAACAGCTGATCTGTAAAGTGTTAACAACAACAACCATAATGCCTGCTTCTGGCCAGCTCCCCCACACCTCACACTATCACTGGCACTTTAAACAAAATGCCGACTCAACAGCATGTCCTGTAGGCCCCACATTTACCACACGAAAGCCAGAGAACAACACTTCTCATGAATCTGATCCCAGTTTCCCAACGACTGCCCTCATAGCCAGCTCTGTCTGTGGCCCGATAGTTGGCATTGTCCTGACTGGTACCATCTTTCTCACAATCTGGTACAAGAGGAGGGCCAAGATACCTCCTTTGGGTCAACCCAACGTCGTCTCAAATGATAGAAGTCTTCAAGTGAAGAAAAAACTAGTTGCCTTAGAGTCAAATAATGTCTACGAAGATATTGACGCTGAGAACTTGCCCCCAAAACATGAAGATGCAGTCAGACTCAGAGGCAAACATATTGAAGATCCAAATGTTCCTAAGACTGAAGGTTTGAGCAACACAAACACTACAGTTGCTACTGTACATGTAGTGGCCAGTGATTATGAGTATGAGAATCTGAATACCCAGACAGAGCAGGGCCAGTATTCCAAAACTAACTCAAACACAAACACAAACACCACAGCTGCTTTAGTGGCCAGTGGTTACAATCAGACAGGACAGGGCAAGTTTCAAACTCTTGCTGGTGAATTGTACACAAACACCACAGCTAGCGCTGCTTTGAAGACCAATGTTAACTATCAGCTAGAGCAGGGCCAGTCTTGGGCTGTCAATGAACTCAACACAAACACCACAGCTACTGTAACAACCAGTGATCAAGATCACCACTATGAGGATATGAACCAACATAATCACACAAGGAAGGGCCAGTCTCAGGCCATCACTGGGTCAAACGCAAACACTACTGCTGTTGTAGTAGCTAACTGTGGTCACGAGTATGAAGATATAGACACCAAACATGATCAGACAGGACAGGTCCAGTCCCAGACCAGCACCAATGATAAATCACTGGATGCTAGAAATCTAATATACACTACAGAGGAACCTGCCTCAGAGTCTAACCCTGTGTACAAAAAATGTAAAAACGATCCGACAGATCATGACCGGAGTCAGAATAACACTGATGAAACAATGGACACTAGAAATGTAATATACACCACAGAGCAGGCTGCCTCAGAATCAGAACCCAATCCAGTGTACAGATGTAAAAATGATCAGACAAGTCAGGACCAGAGTCAGGAACATTCCACTTTGCATGAAACTGTTAAAACAACAGCAAACCCAAAATATGAAAGTGCAGGTGCAGAAAGTGGTGAAAATGAGGCCCTTGTACCACAAAACAGAAACATACGTGTACGTCATGTTTCTCAAAAACATGACAAGCCTCCCCAACTTCCCTCATCTTGTATAAATGCTGATCCTCTGTCAGTTGACTCACAGCCTCATTTGTATGAAGATGTGGACTCACCACAAAAGAGCCCCAAACAATCGAAAAATCCAGGTCTTAAGAGCTTTGCTAAAAACAATTTTGGAACAGCTGACAAAAATATTCCAACTAAAGAGGAGCCTCCCCCACTTCCACCCTGTAAAGATACCAATCCTCTGTCAGCTGACTCACAGCCTCATTTGTATGAAGATGTGGACTCCCCACAAAAAAGCCCCAAGACATTAAAAGAACCAGGTCTAAAGAGCTTTGGAACAGTCAGTAATAATACACCCACTAAAGATGAACCTCCCCCACTCCCACCACGTAAAGATACCAATGCGTTGTCAGCTGACTCACAGCCTCATTTGTATGAAGATGTGGACCCAAGAAAGAGCCCCAAACCATTGAAAAATCCAGGTCTAAAGAGCTTTGATGAAAACAAGAGCTTTGGAACATTCAACAATAATACACCCAGTAAAAATGAGCCTCCCCCACTTCCACCCCGGCCCCGTAATGACACAGACTCACAGCCACATTTGTATGAAGATGTGGACTCACCACAAAAGAGCCCCAAACCACTGAAAAATCCAGCAGGGCTACAGAGCTTTGATGAAAACAAGAGCTTTGGAACAGCTGACAAAAATACACTCACTAAAAATGAGCCTCCCGAACTCCCCCCACCCTGTGAAAAAGATGCTGCTGCTCTGTCAGACATCTCACAACCTCATTTGTACAAGGATGTGGACACACCACAAAATTTACGGAGCCCCAAACCAAAAGACCCAGGTCTCAAGAGCTTTGCTAAAAACAAGAGTTTTGGAACAGCTGTGAAAACCATACCCACTAAAGATGAGGCAAATATTAATGTAAAGGTGCCTTCTAAGAAACCAGATGATAGCAATGAAGAGCATCACAACTATGAAAATCATGACCTAAAATAACAAGGCATTTTTTTTGGCTGACCAATTGAGATTTAGACTATAATATGATTTTCATATTCTTACCTTAATATAATATGATAAAATTAAAGACAGCAATTTTATCAGAAAAAGAAAAGTATATGTTACAGTAGTATTGTGTGTAAATATCATTTTATTGCACAACAATTGTATAAGATGAACAGCAACTTATATTCATTATAATATAAGCAACTTACTGCAGACTTCAGAAGTGATGAAGATGATGTAGTTGTGCAGTTTATTTGAAGTAAGTAGCAAGGATACCACTTACTACTATGAGCAGTGTTGAAGTTTAGTGCAGCATTTTCTGCAATAATGTTACCTATTGTAATAGTATGTTTACTGTCAAGTGGCATTTTCTGCAATAATAATTACCTATGGTAGCTGTTAGTTAGTAGCTTTACTGTTACATTTTCTGCAAAAATGTTACCAACTGCACTTAGTATTGATGTTTACTGTGTCATTTTCTACAATCATATAATGTTACCTCTTGTGAACAGTAGTAGTATTGAAGTTTACTGTTCAGTAGCATTTTCTGCAATTATTATAATATTACCTATTGTAGTTGTATTGAAGATTACTGTGGCATTTTCTGCAACAATGTTACCTATAATTAAAGTTTACTGTTCAGTAGCATTTTCTGCAATTTTTATAATGTTACCTATTGTAGTTGTATTGAAGTTATGTGTACCATTTTCTGCAAAAACGTTACCTATTGCAGCAGTAGTATTGATGTTAACTGTGGCATTTTCTGCAATTATAATGTTACCTATTGTAATTTGTAGTAGACATATTGAAGATTGCTAACTGTACAGTTAAGTAGCATTTTCTGCAATTATTATAGTGTTATCTATTACTGTGGTAGTAGTACTGAAGTTTACTGTAGCATGTTCTGCAGTACTGTTACCTATTGTAGTAGTATTGAACTTGAAGTTTACTGTTACCGATAGTAGCATTTTCTGCAAAAATTTTACCTATTGCACTAGTATCAATGTTTAGCATTTTCTGCAGTATTGTAGAAGCCTGAGCTTCATAAGATGATAAGGGTGAAAGAAAAACCTGTGTGTATGTACATGTATGTTTGATGGAAGTAATATTAAGACTGTATTTACTATTAGACCGTATGTATGTAACTCTATTCTGCATGCATCATACTAGTACATGTACAGTACATTTATACTAGTAGTATAAATCTAAAATGCTTCAACATCTAGTGTACATGCTTGTGCAGATGTGTGACATTATATTTACATGTATATAAGGCTGAGAAAGCACCACCTTATATAACAATTATGGTAAGGGAAGGATTTTTTAATTTTTTTTAAATTTCAAGTAAGCCTTAAAACTTTAAAACATTAAATAAGTATATGGTTATCATTATTCACTGTACTGTAAAATTGCTGCACAAATAATTGAAGGAAGTTGGATTGAACTTAAGGCATTAGTTCACATGTAAGTAAAGTTTAAGATGTTCTTACCTCCTCCTTCTCCTCCACTTGGTCACTCCAGGCCCCGATAACATGCTGCTTGTGCTGCTCAGATTCAATCTAAAGACAGGAGGAGGAATCTTAAGACATTAGGTCACATGACATAACCTGTACTGCACATGTAGGATTTTCACTATGACATCTAAAATGTGTATTACACTGTTCTCACCAGGATTTTTTCACAGCATAGGGGTCAAGTACAGAAGGGCAACTTTCGTGGCACAAGTCACACATTGAGACGAAAAAAAAATTGAAACTCATAACCCCCTGAGACACTATTTCTCACTTTTTGAGGGGCAGATTTTGTGAAGTTCAGGTTTTCCCTTTGATATAGCTTAATTCTAAAGTTATATTTTCATTTTTTTAGCAATATTTATTAATGTTCTCCCCCAAAAATACCCCAATGGGCCCCTATGCTCAAAAGGCCTGGCAAGAACACTGATACGTCTGATAGTATTATATCTTTGATGTATTATCATGTTTTTTTTAATCTTTATGAGAAATACTGCTGGCAACATGGAATCTAAATCACACAATCATGTAATGATGTTGACAGCTAACCCTTTTGAAGTTAGCACATTTTCAAAATACACCTGGAAAAAGTAGTAGTCTAGAATATTTCTATTATTGTTTAACAGCAAAAATTTCTATTTGGATTCATAGACTTGTGGAATCTTGGGTCACAAAACGTGTGCAACAGAGTGAGACATTCAATTTTAATATCTTAAAAGTAGTGCTTTCTACGATATTGTCTTCAGTGGGCCGCATAAGTTTATTTTGTTGGTTCTTGCTCAATGCATTCAATTCAAAGTAAGGATGTATACATATAGCAAAAAAATAAGAGGTTAGAATTAATTTGATGAAAACTGAGTGAAAATTTTCATGTATCTATACTTTCTGTCAGAAACTTTGTGTACCATGGTACATACTTCCTTTCATGTTGATCTTTTTCGTCAGCAGTATTTTTTAATCCTTAGCAAATTACCTGTCTGAGATCAGGGTTGTTTCTTCTGAAATGTTCCTTTAACTTGACTTCAGCAAGCTGGAAAATAAAAAGTCTCATCACAAAACAGTACAGAGCTTAAAATACCTGCCTTCAGTAGGACCAAACATTTTTTTATTCATTCATATACGATTTGGTAAGCTAAAACTAGAAGAGTGTAACTAAAGCTAAAACTAACCGGTATCAAGCAGAAATAATTGAATAATTGTCAGAATAATTTTCAGAATAAGCCTAATGCATTGTTAATTACTCAAGTGTATAATAATTATCAGTTGCTACCAAGTGTAGTGCCAAACAATATGTTGTATTGGCTGCTACAATTATCAAGACTGTCAAACTACATTATTGCTCTTTTTCATACAAATACAGTACAAATACATTGAGGAGTACAAATACATTGAGTAACCAAATAAAGTAACTGATCTCATTGTTCAATATGTCTTCAGTAATAATTTGTCTTCAGAACATGAAGGGTTGATTCTCACCTGTTTTCTTTCGGTTTCTTTTTTCTCCTTCAGGTGATCAGCCCTACGAGAAAAAAATATTGTCATTTTAAAAATCAATTTTCATAGTGTTCTTGTGTACATATGATATGCTATGGTGAGCAATACCCACTTGATTGTGCATACATGTAAGAAACAATGATTATTTTTCTATTGTCCCAAAAATGTCCCAAAGTGACCTTTCAGTTGTCCCAGCCTAACTTTTAGTGCTCAGTGGCCATCAGGACACTCTTAATTGTGAGTCAGGAGGATTTGGGGATTGTGAGGATCTCCCATTAGTACATACAAACCAGCATAACGGCAGAACGTACTGCGCCTGCGCAGAGCCCCGATTTTTCATTGTTTTTGTTGGATTTTGGGTCAATGTTGCATTAGAATTTTGCCTGTTGCAGACGATATTTTTTCTGACATAACATTTGGAAACTACAGACGGGATGTTAACCTTATATGCGCAAATACAACCTTATATGGGACGTTCTGCCAAAGTGCTATGCACAATATATTTAATTTACTGATTTTGCGCAGGTGCAGAACGTTCTGACGATACAAACCTCTCCTTCATAGCCTCCATCCTTCTGTAGTTATCCAGCGACATCCCCCTCAGCTCGGCCTCGTACGTGTCCCTCTCCTCCTTCAGCAGCTCACTCAGTCTCTCTCTCCGCTCCTTCAGTCGGGCCGACTTTGCCTCCTTCTCTGCTGCTGTATTAAAGGCTTCCATGCTGGGGGGAACAGCATTATCTGTGAGAAACTTGCAGGGCTTGAATTGTTAAAATACTGCTGTGTGCATATACATCTTAGTACAGGTAAAATTGGGGCTGTGCAGGTATTTCTGATGTCTACATGCACTGGTCTATGTGCTGGGTTTATATGCTTTAAGGTGTGTGTAGATTTTATTTACTGTATTAAAAGTAACCATGCACGTACAAGACGTATAAAAGACATAATGGCAATGGTTCTGAATGATCCATACTTCCTATATTCTGAGTGAGTGGTGCAGGTAAAATTTGTCTGGTGCAGGTATAATCATAATTTTCAATGTTACCTGCATCAAGCCCCGTTTATCACAGTGACTATTTTTCAGAAAACATACATGTACACACAAACTTCCAGTGCCACCCAAAACAAATATACTTTCTTCCTGGATGTACCAAAACAGATGCTAGTTTAAACAGACTAGCCTGGTTACCAAACCATTATTATCTTAGCTCCAGAGACCTGCGGAGAGGCTGTAGGACTCGAGAGCTATAATAGGTTTGGTAATAGCCTGCAGCTGGGTGCTATCCTCCATAGTTTCTGCCTGCTCCCTGGCTATACTGTTTGTGGTAGCCAGCGACATTACTAGGGAGCGGGCGGAAACTACGGAGGCTGGCACCCAGGCTAGTTTGGTAACCAGGCTAGAAACAGACCTGTCCTGGTAGCTGCGATGAGAAGACCAGTGGGCCCCCTTAGCCGTCTGCACGTTGGACTTGTGGAAGTAGCGTGCATGGTTGTCCCACGTCTCCCGGAACTGTGCCTCGTGGTTCCGCTGACGGAGGATCCTCTGCTCCGCAAGTCGGTTCCGGACATGCCAGTAGGAGGGGAGGGTGGGCAGGGCCATGTCTGGGAGGGGGGGTTATAAACAAACTTTGTTTATTCATTTATACATTGGTTTGACTGTTCAGCACACACATCCAGGGCAGCCCAACTAGCCTGTGGCTAAATTGCATGCCCTGCTGACAAGACAAGACAAATACTATAACCAAGTTGGTTCCGCACGTGCCAGTTGGAACTTGGAGGGGAAGGTGGGCAGGGCCATGGCTGTCACAGTGTGTGTGTGTTGGGGGGGGGGGGATTTTATGATTAAGCAGTCACCAAGAGTTAGTTACCTAGAGAGACAATTGATGCTGAACTGAACTTGAAACCACTGCCAAAAAAGAGACCACGTCTAGTCTAGCGATACTACTAGTATATTAGACATTGAACACGGACAACAACAAAATAAACTTTATTGCAAAGCACTAGTGTAGCGAACGGTTGTGTTTTATGTACTGTCAATGGTCCAATTTGATTTCTAACATTTTATATGCATTTCTTAGATCGATGTCCTATATGTACAAATTATTGTCAGATACTAGTAGTAGACAAGCAAAAAAATATTTGACATGAGAACATTTTCCTAGCCGTGCTTCCTTTTTTTCAACAGCTACTTCAGCCTCCTTAAAAAATCTCAGATGTTGTGAAAGTTGAAGTAGTCAGCATTAGATTTCTTTCGATACTAAATTACCACCAATTTTTGCAAGTTTGCAAAATTGATCAGGTTTTTGTCTGTTTACAAATAGTGTTACTTCAAACTGGATCGAATTCACATTTTTTGCGACGTTTTAACAGAAAATTCGACTTACTTTCTTACCTGTTGACGTGTGATAATTCAGTCACCGAGAGAATTGAACGAAACACAGTCCGGAAGTTTACAAAAACGTGAGATTCTTGTTGTTTGTTGTAAGATTCTCAGCTGGTGATCGAAAAAATTTCAAACAGGTGAGTTACGCTAGTTCGCATGCGCGATGACCTTTTGAGTGAACTCTGATAACAACCAACCATAAAGAAAAACTTTTGAAAGAACACAGAAGAAATAAAAATATCTTTAGATGGCTAGTTTGAAAAACTTAACGACTTGATATTTAACTGTTACATATTTTGATATCCATATATTGAATGCTTATATGATGTTTGTTCTTTGTTAGACATTCTCAATGTTGATACGTTTTGGCGCTACCAATCTTCTGCAGTATTAATGATAACTGCTAGAGGCCGCTTCTACAGCTCACCTATTTACGTTTGATAAGAAAATACCACGAATGGACTTCATAGGAAGGTATAAAAGAGATTTGTTGTGTATATTTCTTACAGTTCTTACAAAATACAACGAGTGTCCTTTACTTTGAGATTCTTTAAATATGCCAAAACGATGTTTTAAAAAGAATTGCAGTATTCTTCAAACCTTTTTGATACCCCCAAAGGTAGTCGGGGTTCTTCGTGAACTCCTTGCAGAGCCTTCACCAATCAAAACGTTTGTCAAAGTTTTCCAATATGGCGCCTTAGCAACGAGAAAGTAATCCTTCTTCGTACCGTAAAATACGAAAGGCAGATCTACTAATCGAATTGATGCATTAATTACATCCACAAGAGATCTAAGTGCATATTACAGTGAATTTGAAATGCATAAAAGGCTAAACGACCGGAGTCAAGCTCGAAAAAAGTTTGTAAACATGGCGCCCTAGCAACCGGCGGCTTGTTGTGGAGCCTTGTCACAAATTTACTGAACTATATTCATCCGCAGTCGTAATCGTTAAAAGATAACCAAAATCAAATTTGACGATCAAAAAAATAATTCCAAAGCCATAGTGTTACTAAGAGACAGAAATATGCGCGTGGGAATGAAAATACTTTGCAGTATTCCCCCAAGCCGGTCGGACTATTTTCATCAACCACATCACTCCTATTTTCAGCTCAATTAAAAGATTGCGCGGGTCGAATGAGTTGAAGATTTCGCACGAAGGAGAAGATGGACTTGTATTTAGTGCTGTAAATATAAATATTTTGGACCCAACATGGCTCTAGACGACGTACGTTTGGAATGGATGCGAGACAAAGTCTACTCAGGTCTGGACATCGAAGATCCGGAGATTTTCGAGGAACTCTTGAACCGAGAAGATGGCGAGTACGAAAGGAAGATTCTGAAGTTTTTGAACGAAAGTCCCGAGAGCGGGACTCCCACAGCCATTCTGTTCTACTGTCAAACTCAAGAGGAGGAAGAAGAGGTGGAGGTAGAATGTGGTAGGTGGAAACTGAAAGATTCTGCTGGTTTTACAGGTTTTAGGGCCGAAAAGTTAATGTTGTCGTTGATGACACACCCCCTGTTCAATATTTGCGAAATTGATTGCAACGTTAATTACATCAACAACGTTACATTGTGAACGTTCCGTTTAAGTGATTCCAAATACTTGTTACATGTCAGAGTAAGTTCCTTTATGTGCTTTGATCTATTTTCAATGCTCTACTGGTTAATTGGAGTTAAAAAGAAGAGGCTAGATTGTCATAGTCTGCCAAATTATACTACATTAGGCTGACATTAATATAACACAGTGTATTATTAAGTGCCAATTCGTCATGTCAAAGTAATTATTAACTCTGTTTCAGATCCCCACCCCATCCTTACTTTAGAAATTCCCATAACTTTCCATAACTCAACAACTGTTTTCGATTATTTGATTGATTGATTAACTCTGTTTCAGAACCCCCCTACCATACTATAGAAATCCTCATAACTTTCCCTAACTGTTCTCGATTGATTGATTGATTAACTGTTTCAGAACCCCCATCCTTACTATAGAAATTCCCATAACTAATTCCCTACTAGTAACTGTTCTCGATTTATTTTACTGATTGATTGATTGATTGATTGATCAATTGGTTGGTTGATTGATTGATTGATTGACTGTTTCAGAACCCCCATCCTTACTATAGAAATTCCCATAACTTTCCATAACTGTTCTTGATTGATTGATTGATTGATTGATTGATTGATTGATTGATTGATTGCCATCTGTTCCAGAACCCGAGGTTCCAGATATCCCTGTAGATGACGGCGCGGCTGGCAGTGATGACGATAAGAGAAGTGGGGACGGGGAGGGAGAGGGGGAAGGGGGTGTCAGCAGGGCAGAGGGGGACGCAGGGGCGGACCCAGGGGCCACAACACCCGCCGCACCACCCGCAGGTCAGATATGGGTCCTTAACTTGTCATGGCTGCTTGGCTGTTTGTTTTGTATATTGTACAATCTGTGTAAGACCAGACTGTAGTGTAAGGTTTGATCCATCTCACAGATCTAGATGGAAGGATCCCTACTCATTTTGATACTCTCTGTAAGTGTGCTGGGTTCTTTTGATATGCTTAAGGTCTCGAGCTATTGGCTCTTCTTTTATTGGGAGCCCCATCTGAGGAATTAAAGTAATTTATCTCTGCACATTAAAGAACCCAACACACTTGTTGTCAAAACTTGAATTTAACCGCCTCTTAAGTCTAATTATTTATTACTCTAAAAGTCTTTTCAAAAGTATGTACTTGATGTTTTAGTTCTATACAGTAGCTGTAACTGTGTTTAAATTAAATCCATATTTAGTGTTGATATAGTATTGATTTCTGTTACCTGTATGGCATTTTTTTGTCTACCATGAGTACTAGTGAAGCTTTTTCTTACTGACCCATTTTTCTTGTAGAGGGTGAAGCAGATCAGCCGGCAGGGACGGAAGGTGCCACTACCGGAGGGGAGGGGGAGGAGGGTGGTGAGGAGGGACAGGAAGGGGCATCATCAGCCACACCTGAGGTGGAGATGCCCAAGTCCAGACAAACAGTGAGTTGTTGTCAATCCAATCTGCTAATGTGTTAGTGTTACTTTGACTAGAAACTCTTGAAAAGCTGATATCTAGCGTAGCATGCTAATTTAAAGTATACTTTGTACAGCCCAAAGAAGTGAAAAATTGTTTTTTAAAACTTGAAGTTGGTATTTCACTATCTACACCCAGAAATGCTGCAGCTATTATTGCCAGGATTAGGGTTGCAAAGCAGTACAAAACTTAACCAAGAAGCAAGAAGTTGACTCTACTTGGCTAAAGCTTAGCACTACAATTTGTATAGTTATGTATGTTGAACTATTGTGTTTTTGGCTTCATACCTGTACCTAGCCTTCCAAATCCGAGGCATGGATGACGTATACAATAAACTCTTTCCTCATCATCTTCATCTTTTCCCTGCAGAAAATCATCATCCAGACCGTGATGCGGTCGTACCTGTTCGTGTGCATGGACCACCTCCCCGAGGAGCTGTCTGACCAGGACTGCGTGTTCTTCCTGCGTAACGCGCTCGGGACCGTAGACTGTCCCACCGACATGGAGGAAGCCAACGAGGCCCTCCCCAAAGTGTTTGAGTTCGGGATCCTGAACGGGCATTCGCTGGTCATGCTGGAGCACATCATCAGTCAGGTATGGACTTGTTTCTTTGGTTTAGTTTCCTTTATATATAATGCCCATCATCAGCCACCGTCCGTTTCAGTAGACGATGGGCCTGGTCCAGGAGGGGTCCAGCACCTTCTCTGGTGGCTGAACAGGCCGATCCTTGAGTGGCAGTCTCTGCCACATGTTGTACAGGTGAATTTGGTGGTGTTGGCTGCTTTTTTTTCTAGATTGTAGGTGGGTGGGAAACACTTTTAACCGCCACTAGCATGAGATTGTGCTATAATTTGCTCTAGAGCTGGTAGAAAGCTGGTAAAGAAGTACTCAAAAATTTCCTTTTTTCTAAGCACTCAATTTATCATGGAACAGTGTAGTGAAATCCATTGCCACCAAGCACTGTTGGTAGGAGCATCCTCACTCATCATCATCATTATCCTCACTAGATAATTTTAAAGTAGAACATTTACAAAGGTAAAGTTGTGACAGCTCATTTGATGGTTATGGCTGATGGGCCATCTGCAAATTAAAACAGATACAGATACATGAAAAACAACATTAATTGCCTCTTACCCCAAGTACATGTACTTTCCTCCCCCCTCCATAGGTCTACACCCCCCTACTGGCCTACAACACCCACAGAAACGGGGGCCCCCAGGCTGGTGGGGGTTCCGTACCCCCCTCCCGTGGTGCTGCGACCCCCCG